AAAACCGGAGCAGCAGGCTTTTTAAAGAAATGTGCTGGGGAAAAAAGATGCATCTTGTGCCAAAAAAGCACAAATTATGTGAAACCAGAGGGAAGAATTATATCAAAGCCTGTACCAAGCTTCATCAGCAATGCAAGAAAAACATGATACTCTTAGATGTTCATTATTGTTTGGATGATTAATTGATTTGGAACATGTAGCAACACCAGCTTAGGTTGGAGCAAGTCTCATGACAGTGCTGTGGTCAGATCAGGATGTTTTCCATTAAGTGAGTGTGTGCACGCAGGCCTGTGTGTGGCCTGCCATGAGTAGACGCTCACCGTTCTGATTCACTGTGAATGCAGTTTGTAAACAGCACATTCTTTTCTCACGCCTCGAGCTCGGAGAGACGACAGACAGGCAGGCCACGGTAACGGCCAACACAAGCACAGGCCCTCAGCACACACATCAGGGCACCAGCCTTGTGGACCAGCTGACCTACTGAAGACCCACAGAAACTAATTGAATGATCATGTGTTCATGTCAAAGTCTGCTGAAAGTATGCTCACTATAACACCCTTCTGATCTCCAGAGACTTGAGGATCATCATAGGGTCATCTAGAGTTCATCTAAGACCCAGTTTCTTCTGCTTACTTTTACTAAAGGCCTTTTGGAGACAATAAAGAGATGAAAAGGAGGAGAGAGAGGTGATACTACACCTGAGATGATCATTTTGCATTTGGGAATATGAGTGGTCATGCTTTAGTTTCTTTTATGTCTAGATCAGTTTTCTAGTTTTAGGTCCATCTGATATTACATATTCCATTATATTTTTCCAAGAAAATAGATGAGACAAAATTGTCAGATTGTGTTGGGATACTTTTTTATTCATCAGGACATTCAAGTTAAAACCTCTCAAACTGCAAGGGCTCATGTAAGTGCACACTTCATTTCTTCACTCTTATGGCTACACAGCAATTACTTGCATGTTAGTTTCATAGTAATTACCAAATAATCCATATTAGTTACTGAATAATAAGTCTTAAAGTCAATATTTGGAAAAAAGGATTAAAGAAATCTGTTGAATTTTTTGGATTTTGTTTTTCTGTGGGCTGTGACTTTACACCAGGATGGCTGCAGTGCAGCACAATTTAGTTTTATGCTCATTCTAACGCACCTGATTGAAGTCATGAAGGGGCTGGTAATTAGCTATGCTCTTGGACTTGAGGTGGCATGGTGAATTCGCTCATCCACTTTTACAGGTCATCTCGCAAGGTCTTTGGTGTGCCTCCTGAAGTGTAAACCCATCTTCTTTGATCAAGCTGCAGAGGTTTCGTGCTGTGCCCTTTGATGTAGCCACATCGACTTCTTGAGTGAAGCAGTGCGCAAAGAGGAAAGGGCCTTACAGCTTCGAAAAATAGAAATGCCGCAAGTGGCCAAGATGAATGACCATGTGTACAGGTTAATACAACACTACCCTACACAAGAACCACCATAAAACATTTGCATAGCTTGTTTTAATGTGTTTGGGAAAATATGCAGCCTGCGGTTTGCAAAGATACCTCAACATGGAAACTTTTACCTAGGTGGTCCCTTTCCACCGATACCAATTGTTTACCAGGCCCTTCTAGGGATCACAGCTGAGACAAACAGACAAAAAAAGACAAGTGTCTTGTTTCACAACCCCACACAGTCATCTAGACGTAGCCGCTCGCTTACCCAAATGCGTGTTCGCATATATAGCCCTCGATCTAAAACCATACATACCTGCCATTGTAAATGGATGCATTTAATATCAATCGTAATTAACAACAGGGCACCAAAGGACTACAGACCATGATCTCATTCCTCCACACCCATCCCCCTGTCCTCTTTCCCTGACATCTACCTGTCTTCCCCTGCCAATCTCCTGCTCTGGCCTTTGGATTGGGCTTGGTGTGTGTTTACATGACAGATTGGGCCCCAGTGGGAACCTTAATTGCATCATTTCATGGATGCGAGTCAGCGTACTGGCTTACAGGCAGTAAACAGGAGTGAAGGACCAAGGCTTTGGACACAGATCCTCTTTTAGCAAACATATAAAAAACATGCAATGAGGTAGCGTGGGTTGGGTCATCTTTTGGCCGTTCAGGGGCCTTGATAAGGCATGAATGTTATAGTGTGATGGATGCAAAGTGGAAAGAGATCCTGAACCAGGTGAAATATGAAGGATAGAAATTCTGTTTCATGCAAGGATGGTAGTTATTAAATAAGCTGGTTTGGCATGTTGACTCTAGGAGTAACATAGTGTACTTGAAGGGAATACAGTTGGTGAGGGGAAGAAAAGCAGGGTTACAAATACCAAGGGTCAGCTCAAGGAAAAAAAATAATACATAATGGAGTTAAAAAAAGATAACTCTAGTTGGGTTTACTTTTACAGTTTTGAAGTAAGCTGACTTTTATTCCCCTTTAAGTAAAGGCTAAAGGTCAGCGTTAAAAGTTTGCTAGAGTCTACGGCTTCATCAGTGAGTGTGTACTAAAGGGAATATCAGAATTCCTCATCCTCGGCCACACACACTGCAGCAGTAGTCCTCAATGACTCAGTCATGTAAACACATGAGGTAACAGAATACGCTGCACAGTCAAGGGCGTGACAAGACCAGATATAAAACCAAGGCACTGTCATCGATCCGAACTCCATCAGCCGTTTACTCAGCCAAAAATCAGGCCTTTTGACATAAAGCAGTGAAGTTAGATATACTGTAGTGTTTCAAAATGATTACACCTATTATATCAGAAATAAAGATAATGTGAGTTCTTTATGTGAGAATGAGCATGTGTAGAGGACAATTTGTATTTTTTTTTTCTCTCCTATCTACACCCATTATCTGTAAGAATAACTCTTCGGCTCAAGTACACAATATTATAACATACTTCTCCAACCATCTGAGTCGCGGAAATATTTAGTATACAGGCTCGTCATGTTTACTCAGTACAGGGTTACACTGTTTATGAAAGATAGCCAGGCAAGGGCCCTTTGGGGGAGAAAAAGAAAACCATTCCAAACTAAAAAGAAATGATTCATGCCACAGATAGCATATAAACTAAAATATACCCTATCACCCCCGCTCCGCCTTAATGCCATTTTGATTGGCTCCAAAAAGTGAAGAGACAATCTAACACTGCCATTCTCTGAATACACAGTGGTGATTTGGGTGATGTGGGTGGTCCTCATTCGTTATTATAACGAGCAAACAATCTGATTGATATTTGGAGACAGAATTTAATTATACACTGTTAATTTGCACAGAAAAATTGGTTTTCATTTGAGTCAGTGTAACTCTGCATAGTGTAAATCAAACTGTGGCGTGCACTGCTGAAATCTGATCTTGTTTGTTTCTATTCTTTATTTCTGTTGTGTCTTTTGTCTAAACCTGCATCCAATGGAAATGTGAAAATAGCGAGTTTGTCACATTATACTTGCCCTTTTTAAACGTCCATCCATCTGCTCAGGCACTTTAAGTTACAAAGAAAGAAAGGACTGCAACTTGTGTATGTTTTGCTTAGCAGTCACAGTCAAAAGAAAGATATGGGTTAAAATAACAGTCACTATATTTTCCATATATGGAAACTAAGCAGCAAAACCAGCCTACTCTGGATCTTTGTGATGTCACAAAACCCAAAGCGTTTCCATATATCTGCCAATTCAGCCTAAAGCAGTTTATCCATGTTCATTAACGCTGACGTTGTAAGTGTATGAGTGCTTCAGCATGGACTGCATGTTTAATTCTAAGGCATAATATCACATTTGTTGCCAGTTCCCTCCACGCCAACAGAGGTCTCACTCACCTGAATACTAAATCATGCTGACACCTGTTTCTAATCAGAAGCCATTTAGTAGACTATTTAAGTTGTACCCTGACCTAAGTTCAGTGCAAAGTCTTGCTAGGTCTGTCCTTGCGATTCTGAACAGTATATTTCTTGTATCTCCTCTCCGGTTATGACCCCTTGCTTAAGTATTACGTTGTTGATTTCTGGATTGTGTTTTTGGACTGTTGGCCCTGCTCTGCGTGAGGTTCTGACAGTTTTGACCCTGCCTGTCTCTGTTCATGATTCCCCAAATTCCACAATAAACCTGCATTTGATTTCAGCTACTCTCTTCGAGGTTCATTGTTACACATAAAGAGATCAGTCAGTGAACGATATTTAAAGCTGTGGGTGGAGCACACATGATTTTATACCAGAAATGTAGCCAAGCTGTTCACATTGCATTTACACACAGATCCTATCACAGCATAGATCTGAACACATTCCGATCACAAATGCAGTTTAACTCGTCTTTTAAAAGCATATATGGACAACATCCAGATATGGGATGCATTTTAATGCCAAGTGTAATCAGGGCTGTTGAGGCCATTACGACAGACTTCTTGTCTGTGCATTGTAATGCCAGTATATATAGGGCACCTTTATTAGTAGTCAACGTTCAGAGTTTAGGGTTTTGGCTCTGAATTATCTTTTGGGAAATGTTGGGCCAGCAGCCACACTGGCCTGCTTGGCATCTTCTCAACGTCCCTCTGTTCACTGTACCTTGCTGATGGGGATGGGACACTTCTCTGGAAATTTGGCCGTTGACGTACAAGAAATGAGACACTTCCCAGCATTGAGCCACAACAGAAACCGGGGGCACCTATGTAGAGCAAAAATTAGTTTGTACTGGGAATTTTTTTTCTTTGCGGCGCAATGCTGAAATATTTCTAAACGCTGGACAGTGTGGACACCCCATCGCTTCTCAGTAGGCCATTATAATTGCTATGGACAGTTCTGTCTAATCATTGCTCAATCCTGAGTAGAAGCAGCCAAGGCATCGAATGTGCCTTTGTCAAACAAATGCACCGTTATGTTAAACCGCAAGGATCCATAACTGTTATGCCATTCCTTTTGGGTACACGAAGTACAGGGTAATTAATTCGTGGAGTGTTCTGCACCTTTGGGTAAATAACAGTGCAATTGGTCTTGGAAAGAAATCTAGCAGTCTTGCAGCAAGTTTTCAAACATGCTATACACTTTAATAAACATAGTGATATTTCTGGGAGGAAACTGAGATAGCCCTAGCTTTATTTACAATACATGATCAAATTCTTCACATGAAACAGTACAAACATTGTAGACAACTTAAATAACTTTATGGTGTAACTACTTAAATAATGAAATAAAACAAAACAAAAACAAAAAAGGGTTACTCTATTCACACAAACACCTTCCCAGCAGCTCCGATGCAAGTTTCACATTAAGTGCTAATATTACAGAATAGACTTACAGCATAGATTCCTTACACTTACTGAAACCAAGACAGTCAGTTTCAAATCGAAGACAAGATCGTCGTTAGCGTAATTTCTCAAAAGAATGTAACCCCCCTGTAATGCTGAAAGAGAATTAAAAAGTGTCTAATGATGTATATACCCAAATACTCTACTATGTAATAACGTATGACCCTATTTATGAAAACAAATGATCAATCATGAAAAAGAACAAACGTTACAGATAGATGTAAATGTACTTTTGGATGAAATGGATAGTTTTCACATCTCTTTGGATGCAGGTGAAATGATTCAAACCAACCAACCAGTAAGGCCACTCTCTGCTAAATGTGATGGAAGATGTGGTCAGTACAAAGTAAATTCAAGTGCAACAATGATAAAACAGCACAATGAACCACAATCGAGTAGCAGTACATTCGGCAGTTATTTTGTAGAGTCCAGAAGTTTTTTTTCTGCATGGTATAAAATGTTTTATTTGGTCAGTTTGCTATGGGGATGACCTAGCATTGTGATTCTCAGAATAATCAGTCTAATCAAACATTGTTTTGTAATGTTCCATTGGCAATATCATATATGATTTTTTGATTACTCATAGGAGCAAGTTGAACGTATACGATTACACATAGTTTCATGTCTGTAGGCCTCTCTTAAAATTATTATACCCCTCCCCACTGGACCATATCAAAAGTAAAACACTGGCATCATTTACTAACTTTGAGTTCACAGACAATTATGGCAAACTAAATGAGCAAACTGCCTCAGCGTCTCAGAACTGTCTAATGACTGAACCTGGAAAATCGTAATGGCAGATTTTTATGCACAGGTGGTCAAACTTTCTAACGGGTGATGAGATGCTTACAATAGCTTAACATTATCATTTGGGAACTGTGTAAGTGTATGCATAAAAGACAATATACAATATGAATTAATTCATAGGCTTAATGTAAAACTGCTTTCTATTAACACTCGCCTCTGCCATATATTATTACACTTAAAAAAATAGACCGTCCTCTATCAAAACAATAGTAATACTATATTATTTTGCAAAGCTAAGTAGTACTTATCGTAGTACAGTACTATGAGAAATGTACAACACTATGCTTGTTCCCTTTCAAAAAATGTGACTGAATACCATTCAGTGATTAGAAAAAGATGTGGACTTTTGATTATGGAAAGGACTGAGTGATTGACAGTGACCTATTTCCATTATTATTTTTAATAATAATTATAATAATAATAATAATAATCCTTTGTACTTGTGGCAGTGTTACTAGCTCAGAACATCTGTGAAATGGTCTTACATGCTTCCTTACGAACAACATTTATAAGAAACTAGCTTGTTTCTGTGCTGAATTTTAAACAGGAACAAAAAGATACATAAGCATAATGAAATGTACTATAATACATTATTTGTACTGAAAGCAGCGTGCATGGTCATGAAGAATATTGGAAAATAGCATGGTTGATGCCCCGATGCTAAACCAAAGTAAATACAGCTCGAGGGCATTTTCTCAGCGTACCAGTTAAAAGCCATCTCCAAATTAACAGTGTAAGAAATGGAATAAAAGTGACTGTCAAAACATTCTTGATTTGCAACTCAACATATTGTCTTTATATAAAATACACACTGAATACAACCAATCTCCAGGCTTGACTTTTTAGGATTCCCCCAGTGACTTGTTAACTCCCTAGATCATTTCACAAACTGCAAGCAGACTGGCATTAAGTCCCATCTGAGTGACTCTGTAGCACAGGTTTGGGTGAATATGAATATATATTCAGGTGGAATAACGCTTTGGCACTGTGTGCTGTCAGCATCTTTCTTCAGTTCTTCGGACTAACCCTTCTTTTTTTTGCTCTTGGTGTTCACATCTCAATGGTGTAAGATGCAAGACTGACCAAAAGAGTGGATACAGTGAAGTTCATTATATTTATTGCCATGATGGTTATAAGGCTAACCCTTTGGTCAGGGGTAGCGAATCCAGGGCAGACGTAGCTTCCCATGGTACGTGGTACGTTTCAGTCATGTAGACTGTCCATTTGGTTTCCTGAAGTGAGCCTTATTACTTGTTGCAAGTCTCGTATTTTCTTTGCTTTCTATGATTTGTCTTCCATTTTGTGCACCTCTATTGTACATTGGGTGTCCCAATGAGTGTCCAGCCCAGGGGTAGAACATCCAAACTGAGCTCAAATGATGAGTCCAATTGTTTGAGACATCTGAAAGGTCCTTTTCACTGGGAAACTTCACTTGGACCTTACTATAGTGGAAGCAGGAAATAGGGCAATGAGCTTTAAGACTTAAGCTATAAGCTTTAACCTTTGTGGCATAACAAGCTTGCAGTGTACACAGGGAAACATGGTCACTCCATTTAGTGTAATCCCTATAGCTGTGAGAGGGGTTCTTTTGGACGCCCAGCTTTATCACTGCCTATGTATGGCTGTGTATGATGTGTATGGGATAGTGCTTGGAGATCCAAAGCATGTATGACTTAAGAAAGACTCTCCTGGGCAACATCTGGGTTTAATCTTACTCTATAAATAAATCTATAAACCAATGTTACTTATGAATTTGAATTTTAGCTTGGGATTATTGTTTAAAAAATATGTAAAAATGAAAAAAAGGTCAAACTAGGTGATATGAGGATGATTTCAAGTGAATTGGTTGATATTTGCCTCAATAACCAGTTTTTAATGCATCAGCCAAATATGGAGCAATTACCAACATGAATTGAACTCTGTTGGTTTGTCAGGTGATTCAGACACTGGGATGCTGTTGGATGTTGGGGGTGGGGGTGTTCTGAAGGCAAACCCTTGAACGCGTCCTTAAAATTCAGTCTTTGGGCTGGAGTGAACGGCTTCTTCTCCCTGCCCTTTTATACGATGTAACTGGTGAGGTCCAGCAGATAAGACGTCATGTCAATGATGTGATCCAAGATGCCATCTTTGTCTTGGTCCTCTTGTACGCCACGCTCTCCCTTCTCACACTGGGCTCCAGTGAAGCCTTCCTTACAGAAGCACTTATTGGGTTCGATGCAGACCCCACCATTGCGACAAGCAGGTTCACACTTGGCTGGGGAAAAAAGCAAAAACTGGCATAAAACACATTTCTCGCTTTGGATGTGTATCAGTGTCGAGCTAAAAAGAAAAGTGGTGTATGGAGTCATGCGATTGATCCACGGCTCGGATGGAATTCTTGTGTGTGAAAGCAAACCAGCCATCATGAGCCCCTCCCCCAGTCGATCTAAAAATCGGTCCTGGGTGTGAACTTAAGTGTTTGGGACAAGTGTGAAAACACACCTAATTTAACACAGTTACAGTTAATTATACAGTGTGTTTTCGTTGGTGCATGAGCTTATGTGCACGTATGTGTGTCCTACCTCGTATGCAGAAGGGACCCTCCCAGCCGTTGTTGCAGCAGCACTTGCCGGTTGGTGTGCAGTGGCCGTTCCTGCACTCCCGTGAACAGGAACTGCTTAGCATTTCAGGAGCCTCCACTGGCCGCCGGCATTCCTTAGGGACCTGGGGCCTGCGAGAACAACAAACCCCTTGCTATCACTTGGGTCACATTGTGTGTTTGGTAGAACATCCAAACTGTTGCTATACTGGTTACAAAGCTAACCCTTTGGTTTGAGGTAGTGGATACAGGGCACTTGTGGGGCTTGTACATTTTAGTCATGTATACTCCACATCTGCTGATGTGAGCCTTATTATACTTGTTGCAAGTCTTAAATTTGTCTTCCATTTTTTCACACCTGAATGTCCTACATTATACTGAGCTCAAATATTGAGTTCAGATTTGGGTCATCTGGAGGATTTTCTCACTGGGAAACTTTACTTTGGACCTAACCATAGTGGAAGTGTACTACTTGACGTAACAGTGGCTCCTGCAGTGTAGAGAAAACATGGTCACTAGCCCCTAAAGCTGTGTGAGGGGTACTTTTGGACACTCAGCTGTATCACTATGTGTGTGTGTGTGTGTTTAATTCTCCTTCTCACTCCATCTCTTTCTCTCTTGCATTTTTAGCATGATGAAATCAGTACACCTGATATACACAAACAGTGGCACATGTACTTGACCAGCATCTCCTCAGGGTTTAATCAAGTAACTGTATAGGGATGTACAACTTTTAAGAGGATGGATACATGTCTCTTTATTTCTCTCTCTCTCTCTCCCTTAAAAGAAATGAAAACACACATGGACATAGAAAGCAAATTATTATTAGTAGCAAATGAGCCTTCGTATGATGGATGACGCCACTTTTTTTGGCACGGCAACATCTGGAAACGGACACAATAGCGTTTTGTGTGTAATGGGGCTCGAATGTGAAAGTTCGCCGTCTTACTGAGGGGCTGCTGATGAAACTGTGAGAGCTTCGGCTCTTCAAACATCCTAATACCTCACTCCGCTAAGCACACTGGCTAATGAGCCAGGCAAATCTCTTCAAGGCTGTCTATTACTGAGCAGCAGGGCTGTTGACATACCCAACAGGCGCACACTGTAATTGGACTCCGCTGAAGTAGTAACTGTATGGGGAACAGGCTGGAGAGCACTTGGTTAGTTCACATCCTGTGTGTCTCACTGGGAGTGGTGCATGGGAAAGCGAGCGGGTGTGTGCTAAGAACACCCGCGAGAGGAGTGGAAAACTGCATTACAAGCCACTATTTAGGCCATTCCTCATAATCTACACTTAAAACCTTTAAGGTGTTTAATCCATCTTTGGGCCAAAAGAGTTTCAGTATGTGCTTTTATCAATAGTTTGGAAAAAAACAAGTGTTTTCCTCAGATCAAGGAAGACATTTTGATGAACATGAAGCAGTGTGCTACAAAATATACCTATAATATTAGGAAATAGAAGTTAAATGTTAACAAAAAAGATTTTTACACTTAACTGAACAGTGAAAATGTTGTGTCCAAATGTTTGACATTGTATATCGTATGTAATAAGCTTTGATTTGTCTTGCCTCTCGTGATGGGCTGTGGCCTAGAGCCTTTAGTTTTGTACATGCATATGTTGAGGTTGTCAAGATTTTAATACATATTGAAAAAACAAATTTGAAACACTGAAATCAAAAAACGCATTGCCAATACTCTTCTGAACTCTTCTGAGGGTCTCTCATTTACCAGATTTTGTGGAAAACGCAGTCGGTGCTCAAAACTAGGCATCTAGTTGCATCCCATCAGAGTAAAGTGGACGTGAATGGTGGGGTTTATGCTATGGACATACCCACACTTAATTGACCCACCCACCCATGCTTTCTTCTGAAGTCACTTAAATTCTAGGGATTGAGATTTTTGAGGCTTAGTTTGTTAGAGGGCAGCACTGCTTGTACAAAGCAGGCATTGACAAAATTCTGTTGGAGGACTTTTATTTATCTGTGTAATATATAATTAGAGCTCTGTAGAATCACAGAGAGAGAGGCAGAGAGAGAGAGAGTGAGATGATGGAGCTCTGTGCTGCCCTGACAAGCTCAGTGACTGATGGTAGGAGTAGGGTAGTAACAAGAGGGTTCTGGCAGGCTGTACTGGGGTGACGGGGTTGGGGGGGGGGTCTGTGGTGGTGGGGGGGGTAGTTCCCATGCTTCCCATTGCTGCTTTCACCACCCGCATCAACTCTCCCCTTTCTCTCATCCACACTCGGGCTCTTTTTTGTGCTGTTGTGACAGGCTGTATGTTGTTAAAACAAAAAAAAGAGGAAGAGAAAGAAACAGAGATGGAGGGTGGAAGAAAGAGAGGGAGAGAGAGAGAGTGAAAGAGAGAGTGAGAGACAGAGTTAGAGAGAGAGAGAGAGAGAAGGAGGGAGGCACTCCCCGGAGGATTGGGCTAACACTGTTAATGACGCGGGGGTCAGTGCAGCTACTAAACAGTTTGCATTACTGGCAGGGTGGCCGTGAAAACAACACCTGCTGCTACGGCCCTTGACAAAGGCAGCTGGGTCAACAGGCACTGTGGGAATGTATCAACTCCGGGAGGCCACTTGCATAAAACACAGACTGATAAATTAAAGGAGGGCCCGGGCTTATTAGTTTAAGACTGTCCCCGAGCCTGCCGTTCCTGCTGGCTGAATGGGAGGCTGAATGCCTCAGCTGCCTGTACGCTCTTTGTTCCACTAGGGTCTGTTTTGACCTGGTATGCCATCCTGATCTTACATCCAATCCTCCACTGTAGCTAACTACATGCGTAAATCATCACCTCAAACCACTTAGAAATCTCAAATATATTTTTTTACGTAATATCTGACTGGGCATGTGCTGATATTGAAAATTTGTATCTTCATAATTACCTAAACTTTTTGGTTTATGATATTATTATATTAAAAAACTATATGTTTAAAGCTATAGAAACTATATTCTGAATGGCATTTTTTAATAGCAGTACTGTGTAGGTGTTCATGCATGTACAATATGTGCAATAAAATAATCATTAAAAATACAGAACAGTCTTTATATTAATGCTCACTATGTGTATAATTATGATATACACTGCAACCGTTTCTGAGGGGTGTGAAAAATTCTCCAGCATAAAATTCAGCATGGAATATATCAGTAATTTCTGATAAAACAATGACTAGTGTGGAATCCTGTATTCCATAAGTAATGTAGTTTATCCACCTATACAATAATGTTACTTTCTGCAAGCGCTTCACTGGTTTTTCCTATATTATGTTAGCATTAAGCTAAAGGGGTTTCATACCTCACAGCTCTAGCCTACACATGGACCTGAAGCTTGTAACAGACTTTTTCTTTAACTACATATATTGCAGTTTTAAAGTGAGTTCAGTAAACATTTCATCTTAAAGCCCAACTCTGTATATTACTGTATTAGCCTGTTAGCAGACTGCCAAGTTCGTTGTTATACAAAATTATGTTGTATGATTAACTTTACGACTGTATAACTATGTTATGTGTAACTATGGATCATTCTACCATTGCAGTGGAAAATGGTGTCCCACCAACTTTGAAACAATGAAAATGAGCTCGAAATAAGTTTAATCTACGGAAGGTTGATGTCTGTATATTCTTTGCTCTATTCATAGAACAAAACCATGATAATTCTTCTTTTTGATTTTTTTTTTTGTGTTTTAGTCATATTGTGCATGAAAACAGTGTGACTTCACCACTGCTGAAGTAATATTTTTATGTAAAACAAAAATTTTGATTAAAGCTATTGCCTATCCATGATTACTTTCGTGTAGAGAAAAGGAAACTCTAACTCAGAGACATCCATGGTCAGTAAAATCTCTTTTTATATTTCTGATAAATATGGCTGAAATATTGACGCATTCATGTGCTGCAAAAAAGATTGTTTCAGTGGTGTTACTCATTAAACAAACGTTTTAAAAATGTAATTATAAAAACAAGATAAATGCAATATTTGTAATTTTCTACATACAGTGTGACTTTGTGAGCAGCACAAAAGTGGCAGTGGACTACATTTCAGAAAAGCTCAGATTTGAGTAATTTAGTCAGTGGTGTTACAACTTTACTGATGTTCAGTATAACAGATTACATTTCACACCTGAATTACGTATCAACATTCATACCCCATTTGCCACTGCAATGGTACAATGACCCATGTGTTTTTGTGAGATCCCATATTTTTTGCCCTTCTAGCCTAGTGGGATGTGCGTTTTCATTTTTTTTTTTTATGAAATAAAAAGTTCTGTCATGCTGTGAATTGGTAACTTGTTTGAAATGCAGCGTCAGTATTTTAGAACATCCACAATAACATTATCGTGTTCAATATTGAGGTTTACTGAATTAACAATTACCAGCACATTGCTGCTGTTGGAACAAAACATTGTATCTCCAAAATGATAACTTTACAGGAGAAGGAAAAAACTTTCTTTACTTTTAATGTAAGTCAATGGAGCCAGACTTGTTTCTGTAATTTTTGGCCATTTCTTTTGGTCCATTCATCACGAAATTTACACCCAATGTTAAGGGCAATAGACATTTTCAAAAACTGAAAAACTAAATGGAGATAAAAGGTTTTATCCTGACAGCAGCGACAAGTCTATTTCTGACTCTGTATTCCATCACTCATAAAATGGACAGAAATACATTGCATAGCTAAATACAGTTGTAACACCTTTTTTAAAGCCTGAATTTTACTTGTAAATTGGGAAAAATGAGATTTTTGCAGTTAAAAGTTCATTTCAACCCACTCTCTGCTGGGTTATAAAGAATGACATGCATGTGCAGTAACTTAAGGGTCCAATATTTCTGAGCCTTTTTCTTGAGAGACACTTTTATTTCCCAAGGCTTAACTTGTTGGATTTGATTATAAAACATTTGAGTTAGCCATTCAGTGTGGTGGGCTGCAAGAATTTATACATCGACGATAGCAGAAAGAGCTTAATCATGCAGCACACCACGACTTCTCCGTCCTTTTTGTCATCTCTCCATTGTCAGGCGCTCTTTGTGGTTACATTGTGTCAGAAAAATTTACTGTGTATTGTAGCTGTCGGCTATTCAGTGATGCTGCGAAGGGCCTTTGTCGAGGGGAGGAACGTGGTTGAGAGCTATTGAGATTTAGGGGAGAAAGTCAAATAAAAGGGTCTATGGCTAAGCGCTGGGACTATAAAATGTGAACACTTCTTGGAGGCATTTGTTGCCTCCCCTTAATTCACACATACACACTTTCTCTTCCTTGCTCGCTCATGTGCATGCATACCCGCAAACACACACAAACACACTCACACACTCACTCCTTCACTGAATCACACACGTGCATACCTCCAAGCTTGAAGAGAAAAGCCTAGAGTGATTTGTGGCTTCCATAACTAAAGCACTTCATTAAAGGCTTTCAAAGAACCCATTCAGAAAGCAAGAGTTTAGGTGCTGAAATTTGAATAAATTGAAAGGACAAAATCAGTATGATGTGTAAACTTTATATACCATACTTTTTACTATCTTTTCTTACCCAGCATGAAAAGGACAGGCAGCTTTCGATGAAGTTAAAATGTAAAGCATTGGGCACGTTGCCACTGTCACACAGTCCCTTCAGCTGCTTACTGAGTTTCAGCACTAAGAATGATAAAACTGGCTAAATATGTATGGTTCTAATGTGGCACCCTGTCTGTATTTCTATACCGAGTTGAGAAAAGCAACATTTTGATGCTTAAGTGTCACATTGCCTTGTAATCACTTTGCAAATTATAGAAAAGCAGCAAAACATTTCCTTAAGCTAAAGAATGCATGCTGACAAGGAATTGTGTCAAACATTTCTTGACACAAGTGTTAATGTGGACAACAATGAGTACGGACTGGTGTAATTGAAATACTGCTATGTAACCCTTACTACCTTATATTAATTATTAGCGAGTTTTGGGGGGTTCCATGGACCTTCAACATGACACTAGCTTAACTGAAACCAATCTGTGTGAGACCATAAATATTTTTCGACAGTTCCATCTTCTCCATCATTGCCACTGGCCAATAAACAATCCCACAATCCTCCACTGTCCACATGGGACATGCACATGTATACGTTTCAGCGTGCTGTGGCCTATTTATTATTCAACGTAAGCGCACTGACAAACAGACGCAAATGTGTGCAGTCACCCTGGCGCGACATGTTTATCGAAACATCTTAGACATTTGACTTGATGTGATGCATTTCCCCCTCTTCAGGGCCTGAAGCCGTTTTACTCAATAAAGCAACATGGTGGATCAAAATCAAAACATGATGTGGGTGTTTTGAAGGCCTCAAATTCTGCCAGCACACAAGATTAAAACACACAACCACACTAATGCCATAAGACCCAGAGGGTCTCAGGTACCTCACTGCAAGACCACCCCTCATGATAGTGCAAGTGAGGTCAGGGGTGTTATCCCCATCTCCTCCGTTTGGTAATGAGATCCCACAAACTGACAGGGTGTGTAAAACAGCACACCCAACACCGCAGGTCCTACAGACTAAACAACCCCAATCGATGGTGGAAAGAATTGTTCCTCGGAAAAATGCAGCAATGCCAGAAAACATAAATAAAAAGTGAGTCCGAGGGGCCTGGGCAGGGAGGCCCGTGGAAACATCTGTTGCATAATTAATTGAGTTAGTCTTGGGTGGCACTGTCATCACCTAGGAATAATTAGAAAGGCATCGATTCTGATTGTATTTCCCACAAAAAAAGAAAACAGAGTGGTCCAAAACTTCATATGAGGCTGGTTTTTAGGGTAAAGTTTGACCGGACATATTTCCACCATTGTAGTGGTTGGAGTAATCTCACCTGCTACGTACAAGCCAAAAGTTTCAAGTCTCCATGGGAAAAGAAAGAAATAAAGAAGGAAGAAGAAAGTTGCAGAAGGAAGAAAGAAGAAAAAAGGCTTTACGTGCGATTGGTTTGAATTAGAGATTTGACTGATCTGGCTGCGCCTGCTGTAATGTCTTTTTGCTGAAACGATACATCAGCTGTGTTGCTGCATACTGCATACATCTCACACTTTGGCAGTGGTTTTGTGGGAATTTGTACGGTTGGTGTGTTCCCGATACACAAAATGTCTTTCATATGCACTTGGCTTGACTTGAACAACGTATTTTAAAAATCTGTCATTATCAAAAAAGGTTTTTAGTGGCGCAAAACACATGGGACAAATTACGCTATACTGCAGAAGGCGAAAGCATACATGCAAAAATGACTGAGCGCTGTAGTAGGGAATCCATTCACATCTGTATTTGTCACCATGAACTCTGAACACGTCAACCTGAAAGCAGCAAGGCCTGTGTGAGGCTGAGTTTTTGGTGGATTCAGCACAGAACACGCACTGACACATGAACGTTCTGTGCTGTCTTAAGGAAAACATTTGTGCTGTTGACGACAGGTGTGCAAGTCTCGTCAAAGCTCGGAAAATATCCCAGCGGACCACACATGCATCCCAGTTAACCGGTGACGCCTGAACTGCCCTGACAGTGTTGGTGTTAGAAACACGTTACACTAACATTTGGAAATGGTATGCTTACTCTCCAATTATGGCTGAGGTTTGTGTTGGCTAAGGCCGGCAGTTGTGTGATGATTTGTTTAAAGGGGTACGGTCCCTGTGTGTGTGTGTGCGTGCAAGAGAGAGAGAGAAAGAGTAATGTATTTAGAAAGAAGGAATTTAGAAAGTCCACACTAATTCCAAACTCTTATTCTCAGCAAATCCACTCGTAAGAGTCGTAAGCTCACCACCCAAATGATTAGGCTGCAGCAAACCAGCAGAAGCAAGAAACGCAAGGTTTGTTTCACAGTGCAGATTGTACTGATGCTAATTACACTTCGTCCAGCACTGTTTTTGGTTATCGTGCTGGTAAAATGCTGGCTAATGTCATATCCGAGGAGCAGAGAGGAATTCATGTTGAAGACTACTGCATGATTAAAAACATATTTAGTTATGTAATGACATTTTGGAATTCATGTGAAGTTAAGGATTTATACTTATGTTCAATTTGCTTCACTGAGCTACATTTGCTTGTTTCATTATACTACAAATGACAAATATCAAATTACACCTTGCGTATTTTGTCTCTGTCAATAACTGTGATTTCTATGGGTTAATATGATGGTCCTGAAAGGCTCTGATCACCTGGATAAAGTGTGTTACATGAGGGTTGGAAATGCGGAAACTTGGTGGATCTCTAGTAGAAAGAGAGGAAAGGGCATCAAAATACGAACTAAGCTGACAATACCTTTTAGGGTCCACCAGTTTGTAGAGTCTCCCACTGTGTGACTGCATGGCCAAGCTTTTGGTGGATGCTAAGATGTAGACCTCACCTGGTAAAAAAAAAAGAAAGATTGAGAAGAATGTGAGAATGTTTGTGTCTGTGTAATGTTTGTTAGAGTGTGCTGTTATCCATATTCAGTGTTGCTGCATAAAACGTGCTCCTGCCAGCAACCTTCCTGTGGCATTGCACTTGATACCATGACGTGTGGATGTTTTGAAAGGGGGAGTAGGGGGAGTGAGTGGATCCTCATGACTGGGACTATGTGAGTAATCTAATGAGCAGCAAGCCTGCAGCACAGCATCTTGCGAGTAGAGATTGTAAACATGTGTCAAAAGGACTGCCATTTGGGCCTGCAGCCCAGCCCTCAAATGAATCCCTCTCACAAATCAGCACCAAATGCTATCTCACCCTCGCAGAGCCCCCATGGTTGGCAGGCGAAAGGATAGAGCCCTGCTATGCTTGTTCTGGGTGCTTGGAACGAGGAGTTCATGTTCCCCATGATATTAGGCAGAGGGATGGTACAGTATGACGGAACACAAGCATGCTGCGAATCACAGAAAATCAAGAGTAACTCAAAGGTCTGATTTCCAGCAAGCTCTGCAAACTGACCCCATGGTTTTGACAAAGAGCAACTTCATCACCGAACTTGGCACACATTCTAGATAAATGACCATTCTGGAGAGCAGGAGAGAGGCCGTTACCAATGACGGCAATGTTAAATGTGTGGTTTATTTGAAGGAAGTGACTGCAAATGGAAACCGTACACACTGACAAATCATTCTGACCTTTGAATCCTGGTCATATCATCTGTCAGCAGCAAGAGAGAGAGGAAGTAATCTGTCAGGAAGCGAAAGAACTTTTGTGTCATAGTGGAATGTGCCATGGAGGAAAGGTATTTTGTAGTGGGAGTTGGAGGAGGGATTGGTTTTCCATGGTGACCCCCGCTTTGGCAGTCTCTGTTCTGTATCATTCGGATGTCTTCTTGAATTTGACTCTTTTCCTGGAAGTCATCTTCTGTATCCTCTAGTGAAGTGATAACTCTTTCAACAGCAAGGCAAAAAGCGCCCTGAAGCTGCACCCCTTTTCTCACCCTTAAGGTTTTCCTTCTTAGTAACAGGTTTTTAAAAGCCTATTCCGTGAGTTCTGCAATGGAATTTTAGCCCATGAAGCTTTTTTCTTTGAATAAAATTCAGATGTTGATGTTAAAAAACAAAGTAATTAAGTTAAACACAACAACAAATAATAAATTGTTGTTTTGTCACTCAAACCTTTTATATGTACAAAGTAAAGAGTGACTTTTTAAGAGAGGGTGACTGGAGGGCCCACTGACCTAGTTCATCCTCACCAAACCCCAGGATGTGGCCTACCAATGAGGAACCGCATGAACTGCTACTTCCAAGACAGAGTGGCTTCTCCTGCCATGGCCGGTCCTCAGTAGGCCTCTGAAGGATCCTGAGGTTCCTGAAACACCAACATGACAGTGGTTTTACAGTCGAGTCATTGATGACATATCTGGCCCTTGTTTTTTAGAAGGGTGTGGATATTTTCAACAGTTGTACAGCTTGGTGTCTACAAACACCTTGACTTTTACATAAAACAAAAACAGCAGGACACTGATACTGGAGGCAGATGAATTACAAACCAGCTTGAAGTGTGAACAACCTAAGGTCATGGGCAAATGACATGGCAGGAAACTTAATCTCAATTTTCACTGCAAAAAAATCCCTTTTCCTCAGTAGGGCGGGTGAACATGTGTATATTGGCACAGATAAAACCACCGGAAAGATGTCATTTGGCATTTGTAATCGTAAAGATTAGCACTAACTCCATAAAGCTTGGTTACAAGCGCATCAGACCAAAAGGATAAGGAAGATCTGTAAGGACTTATTCTGTTTGTTTGAAAGTTAAAATGATTTTAGACTTTACTGTGTCGACATGCAACTAAGGGGGTTTGCTGTAAAACTGAATGGAACACACTCAAGGATAGCATTGCACTTAACGTAATCAACATACCCATTTTTGTCACCAAATACGTAACTTCCATAAAGCCTTCTTGACTGACAGCCCCTGTAGATGAACCCTCCTACTGGGACTGCACCACCAGTAGACCCCAAGTCGAAGACTGATGGTTCATTTTCTATGGAAACAACCATGCAGAAACACCACATGTAAATTCTAAAGCAGAAAAGAAATGGCACAGCAAGTCTATATACTACTGTACAATTTTGATACAGCACAAGTACCTCTGGCTATAGCTTGTATAGAGAAGTCTTAGTCACTTTAAGCAAACTTCTCAAGACATGTAAGCACCATCGTTCCATGTTTTCACAAGTATTAGTAGGAATATTGACTTCGAAATACCAAGATCCTACATAACTAATTTCCAGTACTTTTAAAAATGAGTCATAAAAATGACAAATTGTTCTGCTGAATAGCAAAGGGACCATTTTCCTGCTTATAATCTAAAGGTTTACCCATGTTTACTGCAATCTGTGGAGTGTGGTTGGAACTAACCAGGACTGGTAATGTTAAAAAACAATGTAAACCTAAAAATTGCTGGGAAAGCCATTTCACAAAATGTCCTCATTAACGTCCAGTTCGTGCACTATTAAGTTCATGTCGTGAAAAATGATTACAGAACAGAATGGGCCACAGAGGACTGCAGAGGTGCCAGTGTATAATGAGCACTTGTGTACTGTGTGTGTTTGAGATTTTGTGTATAGCAACAAAGGTTATAGCAGCTTTGGGAATGGCCAATATTAAAACATTAGTCACTGCACTACACAGTGCAGTTTAATAACATAAATCAGTCAGCGTGGTGATGGGTAAATGGGCCCACTCTGTAGGCTTTCTTTCTTGGGCATGTATAAATGTGTTGGTGGAGTGTATGATAGGGTGGGGCCACACTTGTTGGGTGACCTGGTGGGGTGGGGATAGTACAACACTGCAATCCAAATAATTCCCTGTTTGAAAGGAAACTGCATTTCCGAGAACTTCTGGTATTGATTAGACTCTGAAGTATTAAGGGATCAACTAATGTATTGGTTTATGTGCTTGAACTGCACTAAAGCACAGTCTACATGCACACTGTATCTGACAGCGATAAATCTTGTTCATGGACACAAGCTTGCATTCCCCTAGCAATATTGTGCAAGCAGAAATCCTTTTGAATCATAGCAAGTATTTATATAAAGATTTTCTCCTGCTTCGCTATGTTCTGCAGACACAGTTGGAGATGTCCCAAAGAACATATTTCTCACATTCTCAAAGAATTCACAGTTATATCCCTGAACACTCCAGCCGTTTGGTTTTCAGGGAAAGCAAACAACACATTCAGGGAACGCACTTTCATTACATTAGAGATGCTGCGTGTTCTCCGCATGAACAAGTTTTCTTCATCACATGAGAACTAAAGCTGAAACTAATCTATGACAGTAAAATTAGCAGGAGTGAATTAAGTTTGTATAATGTTTATATTTTAACACCATATTCAGTCAATTTTAGCAAGTAAATGAAGAATCTTAGAAACAGCAGTTATTGTGGCTGACAGTGCTAATTTGGCTAATGCAGACTGAAAGCTAATGCACAGTTGCGTCCTATCAAGCTGTAAAGACATACCGTAGTCTTTCCCTTTACTGATCTGCAGGATCCTCCCTGTTGTTGTGTTTCTTCCTGTGGAGTCAGTGCACAAGATCAGGAGGCTCCCATTGGTGTCCATGCGAAGCTTATCGACTGCACACCTAGGACAGGACGTTGATCTTATTGGTCATTTTCCTACCTTGGATACACCTGATATAAACCAGCAGCTAATTATCAAGACATCAATGAGTCGATTCGGGTGTTCTTCAGCATGGAACATGATAAACCACAGTGGCTGCCCAAGCTGCCCAGTTCACCTAATAATTTAAAATCACTCACCTGCCTGGATCATGCAGCCCATGGGCGAAAATTTCAGGTGGCTGATTGGTGCTGTTGAAGTATGGATTATTCCTGGGTATGACATACGGAGTGGAGCAACATTCTGTGTCCACGTCCACCCTCAGTACAGATCCCGTGAAGTCACTGCAGCAGCAAATATCTCTCTTAGCAGGCTGGCAGAATCAGAGAAACTTAGCAAAAAGCAAGGCGTCCCACAGAAATGGAACCCAGATTGCGTCCCAGTTAAGCCCAGAATGTTAACCGTTATAAGCTGCAGTTTTTTGTTTTGCAATACTGTTCAAATGAAATTATGTAATTCATAGATAATTATGAGTTATGCAAGAAACTGACCAACCCATGCTCACTGTTCGTTCATAATTACTGTTGCTAGCTTGGACAAAAGAGACCTGACAAAAAATCCATGTCCTCAGTTTATCCTCCCAGTGTGACTTTTTACACATATACAAAGAAAAATCATTTTTACATCAATTAAACATTCTAAATATGAGTATTTTGGCAAAAATACTGTGCGTTACAATTTCTCACTGTGTTGAATTAGATCTTTGGCAACATTCTGTAAAGCTTGGCCAACTTGGCAAGAATTGCTGCGTTGAGCATGGATAGGTCACTCACATTTACATTCAGTTTACATTTGGTTGTTTTTTTCTTCCCGATGTTTGTTTCGATGTCAAGAAATAACGTGGCATAAATTGTCAAGAATGTTTTGCTTTGTGCAAAACAAGACAAAAAACAACTTTTCATCAAATTCAAATCATAATAAAATATCTCCTCTTTTACTGTAGAACAAATGCAGCATTGATTTGAAATGCATTTATTATTGCTGGTGATCTTTTATTATTATCATTTAATATTGCTGGTGCAACTTCTAAAGGTTAAGCAGAATAACACTAAACTATGCACAAAAGAAACAACTGTACAAGGGGGTGTCAAACTTTTAAGACATTTAGAGCTGCCATTCTGCTGAGTTTAGTGTTCATTATACCGCATATATGAAGGGCTTGCTAGTTAGCTTGAGGTAAATTAAATGTATTAAATCAAGAAAAACACTGAACCCTATAAAATGACCCTCCATTACTGAAGTCTGATGCCCCTGTATTACAGTGTTCAGAAGAATCACCTCAGACCGTCCATCTCCTCCATATCATCCAGCGTGATCATGCCATCACCCAGGAAGATATGTAGAAGGCCATCGGGCCCGAAAAGCAGTTGCCCTCCTAGATGTTTCCTGTGGAGCTCTGCCACTTCCATTAAGACCCGGGTGGTCCTCGTGTCCACCTGGTTGGGGTTTTTCCTTGAGAGAAACACACGATGTAAAATTAGACACAAGTCTGAATACAACAAAATTACCTATCTATGCCAAATGATCTGAATTATTCTTCATAGTTGAACTAGTTGAACTAAAAAATCTGGAAGAAAAATGTTAGTGAATTAAATATGTTTTTTCTGCGGATTCCCTTGCATGCATTTATTTTCACTGCAGTATCAGTGTTAGTGGCTTAAGGTGCATGAATTGAAGTAACTAATCCTGCCAAAGTGTCATCTTTCAGTGTCTGTGAGGAAATTTCTATTTTCTTAAAGACAAAAATAACAGTTGAAATACATCACTCTAAATGGTTCTTACAGCTCCAGCTAACTTTTCAGTTTGGAATTACCCACAGGTTAAAAATACTATGCCACAGTATCCCACCTACATAAAACTGCCAGGTTTTGAATTGCCATTTGAAAAATGAAGTCTTTAAACTGAACGCACAACTATGATTATCATCATAAAACGTAATAATTAACCTAGCTTTAAGTGACTTTGCTTTAATCGCTGAGTGTTTTGTAATGCAGCAAAGAATGCAAGCACATCAGAATCAGAGCAGGAACTGAGCCTACATGATTAGTGTGCAGAATAGCGTCTTAAGGAGCATCAGTGAAATTGTTAAAACTCAAATTGTTGAAACTTATATTCTGTGACACCATAAGTCTTTTAAATCTGTTACATTCATCTGCTGAAAAACTGAATAAAACTTTTCAATTGTATTTTCTCCATCTCTTAAATTGGTCAGTCTGAGATAACAGAGGCCTGCGAGTGGTCCCTTGTTACCTGGACACTGTGTACTCGACCACACGGAGAATGTGGTCGTGAGGTCCGATGGCCCAGCGCTCCTGGTTAGTCGTATAGGAGACGTAGAGCTTTCCGTTTTTCTTGTAATTGGGATGGAATGCCAGGCTTAGCAAGCCCCTTTCATCTCCTCCCTGCAAGTCAGATGGGGAGCACAAAGAATCCAGAAGTTAATTATGTCCCTTTTTTTAAACCAGCGTAGGGCCAGGCCTAAAGCCAGGCCCCCTGTGTCCCTTTCTGTCCCTTCCTTTCTTATTCTCTCCTTTTCTATCTTGCGCTCTCCATATGGGAGCCAGTTACCCCCATGCCCTCTTGCTTTTTTTCTCTCCCACCCCCCTCCTGCCTCTCCTTGACTACTGCATTACAAACGATTATAAAACATTTGACTCCAGCACCCCCCCCCCTTCAGCCACCCCCTGTCCTGGTTATGTGCGGCCCGTCTTTTGGGCCCTCCCTGCAGCCTCCACTGCACAAGTGATTTGTGGGTGTAATCTTTGGGGGATATCCGTGAACGCAACGCCGAGCGGCTGAAAGAATTTATTAGCTCGCTGGCAGTTCATAGAGAGCACAAAAGTCCAGGAGTCAATCAACCCCAAGCCATCAGACTCCACCTCCCTCTCTCTCTATCTCTCCCAAACCCACCCCCACCCAACCTCCCTCCTTCTCTCTTTCTCTCTGTTTTTTAATCCGTGCAAAATCTGCAAGAGGAAGGGGGAAAAAAGGAATAGAAACAGGGGAAAAAAACTAAACAAAGAGCGAACTGCCAACTCCCACTGTCTTGGCAACATGTTTAGAAAACACTGAAATTGCTTGTGTAATAGGTAAACCTTTGTCTCACCCCGGAGGCAGCTACATCACTTGTCACAACTCTGGTGGTCCACTCATCATAGTCAGCTGTAATAAGCAGCTGTATCATTTCAGTCCCTGGGCAAAGCAATCAGGTTGGGCTTTCCTCTTTTCTTGTGCACTCCCTCTCTTTTCTTTGTAACAAAAATAAAAGGAATGAACAGAATGCCAGGCTTATGTGTTAAGAATGAGTGAATGAAGGTGTTTCGAGAGAAACCCCTGGCCTGTTCTTGAATAAGGATCGCCGTAATTCGGCGCTCTGGGATGGGGATGGAAGACGGGTGGAGCGTTTTTGCACCACAATGAGCCGAGTGCTGGTCGTCCAGTAAACAAATACGGCGTGCGTGGAATTAGGCCGTTTATGTCAGTCCTGCAGCATTCCTTCCCGATATCTCACAGGAATTAGGCAAAGAGAGGTCTTCTGTTGACTGCTTGATTTAACTGTGTGGTTCAGCACCCATAGCGAGCCAAAACACACAGATCATAAACTGGTCAGAGAGGCTCTGTTAGGCTGAGTCGAACTAATCCAAGTTGGACGAGCCAGTGGCACAAATGTGAGCGCGAGGTCCGCGCCATCTCTGGAATGCTCTGGAGGAGAGTGTAAAAGATCTTTAGAGATTTGAATAATCACACTCGGGAGCCCTTTCAATCCAACCACAAAAGCAGGAGAGAGTTGTGAAAGTTGACAGATAAATAATGACTTATGGGCTCAATGAGCTCAAGCAGACATTTGCAGTTTTTTTATTAAATGCCTGTTTCAAGTGCAAGTTAGCAAGTGCGGTTGACGGCATGTATGCATATAGAAGAATGGCTTTGATTGCTAGAACTGCCTTGAAACACTTGACCCAAATGTTGGACTTCTGATGCACTGACCTGAATCCCAAAATAAACACCAGGGAGGTCAGGACGGGAATTCCACAGAGTCATATGATCTCCAGCCATGGACCACCGAGAAATGGCGATAAATTAACTGAAATATTAGCCTTCACTTGTGATTCTGTCAGCAAGTAGGTACACTCTAGCAATGACAGTGGGCCATAAGAAACAAACACTAGTTTCAGGTCTGTTCCCCTGCATCCACACTAACAGCCCTTACTCCATTCATCATTAGTGTAACATAGTGAAATATCAGCAGAGGTGGGTTGCTGGCAGCCTCATGTCCAGAGAGCAGGTCTGCTTAATTGGAATGCTGGCACAAGTTGGTGCCATCATCTAAAGCCAAGGCGGTTTAACCACATATTTGCAACCCCCTTGGGATTTTATAGGTTGGCAATCCTGTGAGACTTCTTTCTGACCATAACGGGGGACTTTGCTTGGCAGGAAATAGACAGGGTAAGATAAATATCTGCCTATTCATTTTAGCTCAGATTGGATTTAAATAAACATTGTAAGAATGAATGAAGTTCTGGTGAATTTGCAGTGCATTATGCCAAACCACATTCTCTTCACTACTGAAAAGCTACTGCCATTACTGTGGTGATGTAAACTGGTCCATTTGTTCTTAAAAAACCTCAAAAACATGCTGTGTGTGTCTCTTTTACAACATCCACAGAAGCAAGGGCAAGCAAGATAAGGCTGTAACCATCTCTCTCGCTAAGGATGTTAGCAAAATACCAACTAGAGCCAGGAACTGAGAACAAAATGTGCTACTGCCCCCCCTCAACCGGCCACTGGCAGCTGCTTGGCTTTTTAGGGCATGATGCATAGCTTAGCTTGCACATTGTTGCAGAGCACCTTTTGATCCTTAGGCACTCGGGCAATTCTATATAAAGAATCCTGGAGCTAATAGGAGAAATGAAAACAATGCCTGCCTACATCAAAATCTTCAAAAAATTAAAACACCTCTTTTGCCTCCCTAAATCCCCCATACCCTTACTTATGTGACAATGTTGGAATGGTGGCAAAAAAAAACCCTCTTTCAAATGGAGAGAAATGGATCATATCTCAGATAATAACCACTACTTGGAGTTGATGCAGTCTGGAGCAGACCACGAATCTTCCTAATGACTTCAGCCGCACATACTTTATTGTTCCTCAGGTCAGTCCTCAGACCATCTAAACCTTCCTCTGGAGCTTAATACAATGCGGGAGAAGTGTAGTGAGATGACAGCAAAGGCAGTGGTCGTTTCCTGAAGTGATCTGTTAAAAAAGGGGGGTGAGGGGGAGGAAGGAGGCCATTTGTCAAAGCTGGGGTACTTATCTGAGACAGGGCTGAGAGCCCTCCTGCACATCTGACTGAAAGAGCTCAACAGCTGTGTGTGTAGTGTGACAGAGAGCATGACATGCCGTGAACTATTTGTTTCAGCAAGACGTACTTTATTGCAGCTGGCTGCCCTTGCACTGGCTAATATACTACAATAGAGCTGCACTCACATTGCCTACAGATGTCTTCATTGCCGAGCACGTCTAGCAGACACAACAGCACAGCAGTTCTGTGCTTTTGTTGCTAACAGTTCAACGTGCAACGAATCACGGCTAATCACCATCTCCCTTGCGCAAATCTTTTAAAAGATCAACACATGCTTTGAGTTTTTCCACGTTACTAGGAGGACTGGAGTTCATTTCAGCATCTGGAAGAGGCTGACTTGACGCGAGCCCAAAATGAGTTAATTGGTGAAGCCCTGGCGGTTAACGGCGCTCATGCTCTGCTCAATCCAGAGCCTGTTAGTGGCTGGCAAACCTGGTAAACACCCCGCACAGCTGTAATAGCGTGCATCCTTAAAGCAAGCAAGATCATTATCCTGCTGTCCCGCTCATAACCATGCCACAGCGGTGAGCGCAATGCACAGCTGAATCAGGCACATAAAGATGCACCAGCCAAAAAAAAAACTTTCCTCAAATGGTACAGCGAGGAAGTGCAAACACTTCTAACAAGCTGATAGCTGATTGGCTCAACTGCCTGTCAGATGATATTGTTTAACTGTCTCATTTGGGTAGGACAATTATGGTACCTAAAGAAAGAAAAATAACATTATAATGAGAGGCAGGATGATTTAATGATCGTGAGGAGAGAGAAATGAACAACGCAGAGTCCTGGCTTAGAAAAACATGATTAATGGAGGACAAGAGGAAATTAGTGACAAGGTCAGTGGTTTCTAAACCTGGTGCTGGAGTATCACTGCTTTGCATATTTTAGTGTTTTCTCTGCTCTGACACCTCCCCACTTGAACTCAGGAAGGGATTGTTAATTAGCTGATTATCTGGATCAGGTGTGTTACATCCAGGAAAACACCAAAACAGTTGTGAGTTGGGAACCACTGGACTATGTGAACTATGCCAGCAATCTGAAAAACATAACACGCAGCCGGAGAGATGATGACAGGGGGAAATGTGCGTGTGTGAGGACAGACAGGAGATAGGGTTTCATCCGAGAACACCCACGGCGCTCAGGGAACCTCCCGCCGGCAGACGGCGCATTGTTTCCGAGCAGGTCGGCTTAATTGGCAGTTGGGGAATTGAGGGTCTGAGGAGATGTAGAACATTAGAATCAAAGTCGTGATAAAACACTATCGTCCTCCTAGTGGCCAAACAAGGGCCCAGAGGGCCTGGGGCCCAACCGCGGACACAAAGGGAGTAATGTCCTGTTGATGCTTTGCATAAACAGGCAAGCTCGTTGCAGCTCTCTCTGATAACGGCCTAAACTTCACAGAATAGGGCTCCTGGGATCGAGACTCTCTTAATTGTCATAATGATTGTTTTATCCGCAGCCAATTATGTTTCATTACGATAAGGTGCAGGAGGCCTTCCCAACTGAGCTTTTGCATGTCCAATTCAAGGAATTCCATAATCGTTCTTTCTCCCTTGGAAAAATAGGAGTAAAAAAAAAAGAAGCATGCAAAGTACGCAAACTTCCTGTCAAAACGCTGGCTGCTTCCTCCATCTCCAGACACTTTCTCAAATAAACTCTTTCAAACGCACAAACGCTGCATTTGCTGTGGGGACGGATAAACATCCGCAATGGCACACGCCATAGCTGAGGCTGACAGACGTGCACAGGCTAATTCGACAGCTGGACATGTACGGGAGGATATCCCATAATCATGTAGCTAAATTTCAGACTCATGCTTCTATCCTTCGCAAACAAGGATATAAAGTTGCCTGTACTGGCAGTGTACATGACAGCATGAAACCCCATGTCATGGGTCGAGAGCACAACTGTGCATTGTTGCATCCAAGCTCTGATATCTTCCTCAATTCACGCTTTGCCCCGGGGCAGCAGGAACAGGGGTAAAAGCAGGGGATTCATGGAAGTGCATGTAGTGATTGTGTTTCTTTAAAGTTCATTTTTTGTGGGAGAGCTTCAGTGCTCTCTCCTCAGGTCTCGTCTGTGAAGGTGCCAAAGCAAACTGAAAAGCAGCATATCTTTCAGGGCGAGCGGTAGCCTCCAGTTTTCTGGAAGTCAGACTTCCCTGATGGTGGGAGGCCAGGCTGGATGGATGTCAGATAGGTGCTAATTCTCCCTCAGAAGTACAGACATGTCCACAGCTTCCTGTCTGGAGCAAAACCGCAAAGCAGTGCGGTGTGCGCGAGCGAGTGTATGTGTCTCAGAGGGAGAGCTCCTCTCTGCTCTCTTCAAACCCTTCATTATGACCATGCCTGACACTAAATACATACGTTTAGTCCTACCATACAGGCCCTACATGAAACACAAGCCAACTTTTAGAAACATGTGCTCACACACTCACACTGACCTGTGCTATTCTAAGAGCTCTTTATAGTGATATTACAATCAGTCAACAGTATTACTATTAAGGTAATACTTCTCTGGCTTAGTTTTCATTGTTGTAGGTCTCTCTCCTTACATTAGCCTAATTCTGATGTATTTATTGCCTGTTACTATATCTTTTCTGCAAAGCAGCATTTTTAAAAAGCCAGAAGAGCTTGTCGTAGAGCATAACTGTTGGGTTATATTGAGTTGGGTTATGTAATTATATGTGCATGAATGTGTCAAAGGTTATTATGAAGAGAAAAATATACCAGGACGGCCTCAAACCAATGCTAAGCCTCAAGAAGGGAAAAGTCACAATTAGCTAAAAGTACATCACAAACCTGTAGAGTTCTGGGACAAAATCCTGTGGACTAGGGGTCGGTGATAGGCAAAATGCAGTAAAACAAAAATGCCTAGACTTTTTCACAATACACAACACGTATCACAATATTTTGACGGATATAATGCACTAGTAGTGTCACATTTAAGAACTGCCATTAAAGACAACAGATACAATGGTTATTATCCTGTGTTTCATATATTGCAGCACACTTAATCCAAATAAACAAGAGTGACTTTTAAGAGAGCTTTATAATAAAACATGCAGTCGGTCAAGTACTGACAATATCTGCAACATACTCAGAAATGCAAAGAGTTTATCAAGTTAACAAAATGTATCACAATAACAAAAAAAACGTCATAATGCCCACCTACTATGCACATGAGACAAAGATTGGCCTGTACCAGAGTGATGGAGTGAGAAATGTAGGGAGAAATGAAGGAACTGCTTATTATCAAAAGCAAACTGTCTCAACTGTGCAACGTTAGCAGAGCCGTTTATGGCTGCTGGTGAAACTGGATCACTTGCCTATGTTTTGTCTATATTGATGCGATAGCTGATGGCAGCAGCAGGATGAAATTCAAAAAAATACCTCGAAAGTGTGACGATGACTAGAAAACGTGGAGTTTTTCCAAGTCCAAAAAATGGACTGTCACCCAACTTAAACTCAACTGGGCATCATTACCTTCACTGTAGACAAGTGCGAAGGCAAAAAGGTCCTGAAATAAGCAGAAACTGAAACTGCATTACAGGCGCGGCATGACATTAGCCAGAGTCTGTGATATCTGTGGGCCACAGCCTTCAGGCATTAACTGAACTGCAGAAAATTGCAGAGGAGTCATTGATTGCAGAAGCTCACAGTCTGCACTTTAACCTCATAGTCACTGTTTTATTTCAAATCCAGTATGCTTGCGTACAGAGTCAAAACAAGTCAAAACTGTCTAAGCGTCCATGTTACTGTTAATGTGATTGTCACTGAAACACATTTATTTGTAACATATACATATATTTTTCACCCAAAATTAACTTTGTATGTAAGTTTTACCTTAATCCCTGTCTGCACCAGTTTATGGATGTCCAAGAAGGGCTCTTTGAGGAGCTCCATGTCATGCGTGAGGATGCGGACGAAGCCCTCCTTCTCCAGGATGAAAAGGCGTTGAGACCCATCCCCACAGTGCACCACAGCCACAGGCTGCCGAAGCCCACTAAGGATCTCCTGGGCGCAGTAGCAGTTGTGCTTGTGCTTCCTGATGAGGAGAGTGGTCAGATTAGCAAGGCTGTTGTTAACGTGAGCTTTCTCAACTGAGGATTTTAAAATGATTCCAATCACTAAATCAGTGACAACGCAAATATGTAATCCATTTAAAATTAAATCAAATATCTAAATCACACACAAAAATGGCTGCTAAAAAGATTAACTGTGTAATACTGATAAATGTACTCCATATATTTATGTATTCGAATTGAGCATGACTGGCCCTGTAGGAAGAGCACTGACTGAACGATTGCTGTCGAAGTTTGTTTAAGGAAGACAAGGGGTGAGATTTTAAGCAGTGAAACAATTCTTCCATTAACCCAGATCAAATTTGACATTAAGGAAAAAGGCCGAACAACAAATATATATGTTATATGTGGGCATCTGTGGTACAGGTGCACTTATTTGAAGGTTTTGGCAGGCTAGGAGGTATTTTCTATTGGGAGCAGAATAGTAATGGAATAGAATGTGTGTCAGGTCCCTCTAGTTTAGTAGAATCACTTAACAGATGACTCCCTGGGTATATATGCACCATTGGGAGCTGATTAAAGATTATGATGCTGAAAGAGGCCTCAAGACTCACAATTAGGGGACCAATCAGGCCTGTCATGATGATGAAATTTTAATTGTCACACAAATAATTGTGAATATTTTGTCTTGAACTTTTTATGGCACTACAATTTTACAGTCGTAATGCATCTAAAATGGCTTATTAGCTACCTTGATTATAAGTTCTTAACTTATAATCGCTTAACTTATTGGCAAACAGCTAATCAGGATACATAACATACTCGCACAAATTTCTGCAATCACACAAAATCATGTAATGTGAACCAAAGCTTACTTTTTTTTCAAGAATGACAATATGAGCAAAAACATGTTCTGTGGCTGTTAGCATAAATGCTAATGCTTGTATTATGACGTATTAGTGATACTTCTAAATATGGCAATTGACACCTGAACATTCCATTTTGCTAATGTCATTCTACTTCTGGAACAGTGCTTGGTGACTTTATCCTCACCTAAAGGAGTAAAGAATCGTTCGTGGGTTTCAGCTGCAAGTGTTACCAAACACAGAGAAGAATTCTAAAACTGCTGACAGAAACAGCTCAAGCTTATATATATGATCTATTTAGCACTGTCTTGTATTATTACACCTGTACTTTTGTTGGTTTCCTAAATCCCCTGACATGTATCATAATGTTTTCTGCTTTTTTTAGTATTTTTATGTATTTGACTCAATGGACAGAACAGAACAATTCAAATTCTTTGTGTTGCAACACAAACATATGACTGTGAAATATAAAAACTACAAAATAATCACAGTCAGATCAAATAATCATGCCTAGGATCAACGTAATGTCACCTAAAACTGATATTTTCATATCAAGGGTTTTCTTCACAACACATTAAATGTCACTTTCAGGTGTTTTTTTCATGATATGTGTTGTTATGAGTAGGCTTTACACATACAAACGTATCAGTGCTAAATTAAGAATTTATTTATTATGTTATTTTTTCAAACCTCTTTGAATAAACCTCTTCACATGTCCATCCACCAAACACAGGTGCTGATTCTGACCTGTTAGATTTATTATATTTAAGGATGAATACTAACAAATTACACTGGTTCTGCAGTTTTGCTATGAAAAATTACATATGGAAAATCTTCACTGCAGTTTAACTCCACTGTAGTGAGTGTAGTGAAATAGAACAGTGGGTGTTCATCTGAAAAGTCAGCAGTTATTAGTGTTGTTTTCTATACTATGTAAATGTAATTCAGTAAACATATTCACATTCTGTTTACAGGCTGAATGAACAGGTACAAGTCTGTTCTTCTGATATTTACTGTTTGTTTCAATGGCAAAAACATAAAGTATGTCTTTGCTTTCTACAAAACAAGACTGTACACACAATAATAACTTTTCTTAAAAATCAAAACATAACACTTATAAACATACAATGAATATAAATATGGTATCAACTGTAAGTTTAAAATTCACACTTTCAACAGAATTTCTTGGTTTGGTTAACTGAGTTATGAATGAGAAATAATTAATATAAAATTACCATATGCTTTTGTTCATTTTAACCAGTTATCTAATGAAATGTATATTACTGCAGATCCCCAAAGTGTGCTTTCAACATACTTTTGGATGTCCAAACTATGCAAAGAAGAGTGATTCACTACTTCTGGCAAAGAGCAAATGAAATGAACTGGTGGGCTCCAGCTCAGTGCACAGACATCCAAAATGAATGAGCAAATTAACTCAGAGGTCTTTAGACTCAGGCTGGTTGAAAGCCTTGTTCTAAAGACAAACACTGTCCGTGGTGCTACTCTGGTTTTATCAGCTGAGGTAGCGGCTTTTAAAGACCGTCTCTGATCATGTCCTTTCACAAAAGCTTAAAGTCCACTGGCCCAGATCAGAGCGGCAGCAGTATAAGCACTTTCTTTGTGCCCTTAAACCTGGCTGAACCGACACTGGACAAACACACGGAGCTCAGCCATGGGAAGGGGGGCAGTGGGCCAGGCCACAAGCACATGCAGGAATATTTTGACGCATAAGGTCATTCATGCATGTCGTGTCTCTAGTGACCTCTGCTTTCGTCCAGAAGCAGCAATCGATGGCTTGCTCGAAGGGACACAGTTAAAACACTGAATTAACTGCCGTGTGAAAAGTATAAGTGTTTAGTAATCACCAGTAAATGAAGGCAGTCATAGTTACTTCAGCGCGTGTAGTTTGCTCATTATGGAACACTGTTTATCAGATGAAAATCCAGCAATTTGCTGTAGGTATTATGAACCAAGTAACTCTTCAGGGGTGTTTGAGCAGGGTAAAAGCCAAACTGTGCTGGAATAAGGCCCTACAGGACTCATGATGGACCCACTGAGTTATGGGTTTTACCAAAAAGCAAATAAATGTTGCAGAAACGTACAGCTTAGCACTTAAAATGTTTTCCTTTTTCATTAATATTAAATGATTTTACTTATCAAAAAAGAAACCCACATATCAAAGAAATGCGGTCGCGTGCACGTACCTGTTGATTGCTTCTATTCTCTCATCTCCTAAATAGTTGGAGTCTTGGCCCCGTGGGAGCTTTTGGTGGAAATCAGGAAAGCACAGGCCTCCGTCCCTCCTCCCGTAGTACTGGCAGAACTCGTCCACGTCAGCTTGGAACAGCTCTACCAAACACAGACAGACAACTGCGCTCAGCCTGACATACACACCACACAGTCTTTAGGGGATGATGTCATCACCTCCAAACCCGGCCGAATCCCCCGTAGGTAAAGCTGTTCCCCAGGCAAGCTCGCGCAACTCCAGACACTTCACCACAGGCTCAAGCTAAAGCCCATCTGTGGCTATGGTGCAGCAGTGGGACACTATGAAATGTCAGCTTTAGCAGTTAATGTTATTGTTGCTCACTTCACAAATGTGAACCAAACCGCTCTTCAGCCTGAATCAATGACCTGGAGGTCACAGACAGCAGAGAACTTAACTGAGCTCAGTAAACTACCCTGCTCTCTGATTCTGTGATATCAGCACAGCAAGATACAAAAAAAACACTTTCAGTCATGTGTGGCCTGCATGTGGAAGTGTTAGACTTTCTGTTTAGCTGGAACATGTAGGTCAAGTCCAAATAAATGGTGAAAACACACCCAGGTTTGATTGATTACGCTTTGCAGATTAGATGTGCTTTTAGGGAAAACACCCTTACTTATTTCTCTATTAACAGCCAGCATAAATCTCTCAACATTCTAAAAGATACAAAATGTTGGCCAATAAGGAGGCATGAATGATAAAAACTGTTCGTGTGGTGTTTGGTTAAACTAACAGTTCCCTGGATGCTCCCTGCAGTATGAAAAATTGGTATCAACCGATTAAACCAAATTTTTACAGATCAGTATCAGCTATATTGAACATAATCAAATTCAGATGCTTTACTAAGATTATTAAGGCTATTTCACCTCTTTTATATTACTTGTTTTGCTCTGTATGTGCTATTTATGTTGCAGAGGTGACGTAAACAGTCATTATCCACAACTTACGTCAGGGAGGCATGTTTTAAGTAAACAAATGGTTTAAATGTCTGCAGTAAGGAACTTTTTTATAGAAAATAAAAACAACAACAGCTAACTAATATCTGCAGTGCCAGCATTTTGACTGCAGTTAAACTAGCTAGCATTCCTCAAAACATGATTAAACCATAGGTAAAGTGTGGATGTTTTACGCTGTTATACGTTTAATAGTAACAGTGCATTCAAAGCAAGGAGAAGCCTACCTTGCACATGTTAGAGCAAAACGAAATATGACTACATGAAATGTTCATTTCAATAAGGCGGCCAAAAAAATGCATGAGTTCAGATTGCATCATTGTGTACTTCCTCCTTTCATGTGCAGGAAATGTGTATGTACACGATGGTTTATAAACTAAATTATTAGACACACAGGGCCCCCTGTACTAAGCTTTTGGCAGTTTCAGGTGCAAATCAGATGTATTCATCCCACACAACATCCAAAAACCTTGCAGGCTATATGCATTATATGCTATATGCATGGAAAACATAGGAGGATGGTGCAGAAAAATGGGAGAAGATATTGGAAGTGCGGCACATTACATAGACCACAGGGTTTTTCTAACGTTTAGGCACCAATTTGATGAGAATTTTTTCTCTGCCTTTTAAAATCAGGTTTAAATGTACAATAATGTCTCAATGTCATGTTGTTGGTAAACTCCTATAAAACTGGCACCTAACATAGTAAAGACACAAGTCCCTGCTGAATAACAATATTTTAACTCTCAGTTTCAGACTGCCTGTATGAAGAGACACAGCATAAAATGTGCTTTGATGCAGATGCAGTAAGTCCTCGCAGGTGGTGTTTCTTAAACTCTGTTTTTTTTAGGTAGACTGGAATTACACACACCTTCAATGTTTTGGTGGCAAAAACAATTTCCTAACACTGCTATTTCTGAACTTTCATCTTCTCTATTGTCTCAGACCTGCGGACTGTTGAGTTATTTCACTGTGGCTTTTAAACCCTGTGTGCAGTTAGTAGGCGGCCCCATGTGTTTCAATTTCAAACACATTGTGAGCTCATGTTGCAGTCACGTCAAGACACATTTTGTGCTGCACATGCACAAATGTACCTCTGGTACTCCTTATTAAATTGGGATCAGGGCAAAAAGAAATTATATTGCATGTTGTTTGTTATAAAACTAACAGGCAGACCATTTCTTTCTCTTTCTTTCTCTTTCATTGCATTTGTGATAAAAAAACCCAAAGTAAATAAAGTGGTCACTGGATATTTTAGTTATATTTGAGAGCTGTTTATTTCAACTGGATGTCTGCCTTACCTCTCGCTTTACCTTGGTGACATTTACAGCATAGCTAAACACTATTGTTTATAATTCTGGTATGCACTATATTCTAGGCTGTAAGTGTTTGTTGCATTTATCCCTAATGTACTACACAATATCATCAAAGCACGCAACAATTCTGCTTAGACTATATGCAGGTGAGAGTTAAACATTTATCTCACTATCCATGTTAGATACAGTTTAGCTTTAGATCTACAGTCAGATATAGATAAGAACTTTCACCCCATGCAAGCCATTGTCATGCGATCTAATAATTCGACTTGCCGTTTAAAAAAAAAAACACTCCCAACATTCACCCCGTTTGCGAAAGACACATCACTTATCCCTACTAACAGCATTGCTGAGGCATTTCCAGCAATGTCCTTCCGTCTGTGGGCCTGAAAGGCAGCACCCGGACCTGGGGGTGAAAATCGCGCTGCCTGAGTATCGTTAGCAGCCCCACAGTGGCTTAAAAACAACCAGGCTGATACAGTTTCCTCTAAGCTAAACCCTCATGGGGGGAGACAGCAAACACACCAGGGATAGAAACACAAACACACTCCTTTCCTTGCTTTCATCTTCACCAAGTTCCTCCACACCGCCTGACAAGTGTGTGTGTTTGTGTGTGGTGGTGGTGGTGGTGGCGGTGGGGGTGACCACACCAACAACAGAGGTGATAGGATATCCCCAAACATCTAAACACAACACAGAGATCAAACACACACCCCTACACAGCCATGCCACCCACGCACAAGCCATAGTGGTTATCTTAGGCCTGCTGGAGTGTGAGTGCTGAGATAGGTCTAAAAGTTACCGTGCGTCATAGTGGTATGCGGGAGTGAAGCAGTAAATGCCTTTCCACTGCCCATCAAAAGTTTTTCAAGGTATTTTTCATAAAACATTACACTAATCTAAATGAGTATTAAATGTGTTAAAAAGTGTTATGATAAGAGAACCATTATGGGTATTTTCTTAATTGAAGAGCAAAAAAGTCACATTTTAAAGGAATTAGAGGTTTCCCCAAACTTTTGGCAGGCTGTGTTCAGATGTATAAGATATATTAGATATATTTGCCTTTGTCGCTGTTGATAAAGAACAGTATTTAGTAAATCGTCACTGTCTGAACAAAACTTAGTATCTCAAAATGGTAACTTTACAAGAGAAGGAAAAAACATTCTTAACTTGTAATAGAAGTTAATGTAACAAGATTGTTTTTTAAAATCATTTTGGACTGTTTCTACTAGTCCATTCATCATGAAATTTTAACACAAGGTAACTGGAATTTTAAAATTAAGCAAAAAATGACAGAAATATAGATACAAGGTTTTTGTGCAACACTGATTAAATTCTCCTCTTTCGATTGACCCAATCATTTTGTTGGCATTGCACCATGCTGCCCTTATTGTTGGATGATCTGCAATAGTTCCTGAAAGAACATGAAAGCACATTTAGAACTGAATACGCATCAGTAAGAGCTGTTTATTGATTGGTTTAATCATAATAATAATTAATCTTAACTGAAGTGTAAATTATATTCCATTTTATTCATGTTTTCTGGCTCAAAAAGGTGATCTGTGACACAAAGCACAGTTTAGTTTTCTTGGATCACTTTCTTTCACGTTCTTTCAAATAAATGCAAAGATAGCTTTGAGATATCTCATTAAACTGCACAAATGGAGCATTTCTGCACTGATCTTCAAAGGTTAGTATATTTCCATGGCGTGTCTGTAAGCAAGCAGGTCAGTCTGATGCACCACCATTCATTTTAAGCCCGCTGATCAATACTGACATCCATACAGGCAAATACTTTGGTTTACTAGCACTAAAAAACTTTCATCAAGAGCAAAGATTAAGTCAGGCATGTCATTTAAAAAGCATATTATGCTATTCAAAAGAAAATTTGGAATGTTTTAAAATTATAATCTTCAGGCTGATAACGTTTAATGAGGCAGTGAAGCAATGAACTGTAACCTGTAACAGTCTAAAGTTGTGGTATCCATGCTGCTCTAAGACTGTAGAACACAGGCCTGTTGCAGACTTTTGTTTTTGCTTCAGTCTTGCACAAGAAACTGTTGAAAATATTTTTTTTTGTGGGGGGAAAAATAGGGCCGTAACATTAGAAACATTCAAATGAAGAAAACTTTTCTGTACATGAAAAATCGTCCAATTTGGGCAATTTATTGGGAACAACATAACTAAAAATATGACAAAATTACTGTGTGGCCACACACTGTCTCTGCCTCTCTACAATACGTCACGGTTGTATTGTACTGCCCTAAGAGGGAGGGGGGGAGAGAGAGAGAGAGAGAGAGAGAGAGAGGCTGTGTCCACATCCCCAGCACTATGGTTATACTTCCATCTGGTTATCTTCCAAAGCAACCTGGGTGGCCACCCAAAGTACTTGACATCTTGATGCACTTCAGCAGTTTTACATATACACAACCTTTGTAGAAAAATAAATGTGTCATTCGTCACCACATATGCTGATTTTGGAGGGGGAGGAGGGAAGGGGGGCTGAGTCTTTAGTCTTTTTGGCCTGGACTCCTGTTCTCTTGCCTTTACTGCTTTCAGGCATGCCTCTCTCTCTCTCTCTCTCTTCTTTACAATTCCGTACAAGGCTTCTGAATAGACAGAATTGATTGTTTTTGAGCAGCAATCAGTTTTAAATGGACAATCAAATATAGTGTAGATTTTATGTTTGGTGGGGGGGGCGGCGGCGTTGATTTACTTGTGCGTGTGTGGCCTGTGTTCTGGAGACCGTTGCCTGTTTGCATATCTTCCCCATCTAATCTGTTATGCCTACACAGATAGGAAGAGGTTTTGGCCCAGCAGCCAACTCGTGCATACCATTCCATCTGATGGAATGCACCAAACAGTGACAGTTGCAGCCCTGTGCACTGACCCACCCAGGCAAACAGAGGAAGTTTGTTTCTGATGTCATTCATGCTATGGAGAAAACATAAACCCTGATATAGCCCCACTCCTTACCGAATTTTTTCCATTTCTGCCCAGCAGCAAGCCGGTGTTGTTTGTGTTTTTTTGAATGTACCACCAAGAAAAACAAACTGATGATGTGAGTGGCCTTAAACAGCTGGTATTTTCCGCTGCATCATGCAGAGTGAGCGTGTGTGTGTGTGTGTGTTTGTGTGTGTGTGTTCTCCTGGTGGGGCAAGGTGTCAGAGTCAGTCATGTCTAGACCATAGTTGCGCACACACACACACACACACGCACACACACACACATACACACACACACACACACACACACTCCGAACACATCATGGTGAGCTCCAGTGACGTAAACCCAGAGACTTGCCAAAGAAGCATGGGGAAGAAACTGGTCATAAACCATGCATTCACAGCTCCAGATTGAGGGACTTTGTTTGGGGTGTGTCCACTCATGGGTGTTGAGGTGTGTGTCTGACAGCTGGGACATGAGAGTGTGTGTGAGAGCACCACTTGGTCCAGGGCTGCTTAGAGCGGGGAGATATAGATGCACAATAATGGTAAATGTTCGCTGCTCTAATATTAACGACCGGTAAATGGTACTTTACATTTGAATTTCTGTGTTTGGGATTTTTTAAATTGTGCATGGCCAAATAACCATTTTTGACCACAAACTCATGCATGTTCACCAAATTATCTGGTAAATAATAAACATTGTCAACTGATATTTAACTCAGTGTTTAGCTAATGCAATAAGCCACAGAACTGTAACAACACCCCATGATAAAATCCTTATAACACCTCGAGTGGCTTATTGCTTTTATAAAATGCCAACAACATAAAATATGATAAAATACAAATGCTGAATGTATCAGTTAATTTCTAAATAATAATAAACGCAATAAACAATTCATCTGCCAAGAAATGGAGTTTGTGTAGCGCAGGCTATCTACGCAACTGTAGAGCGCTGAACGAGGACAGGAACTTTCAGTCACCCATCAGTGTATACTGCAGTCTTTTCATGAACTTTTACAATTATATCATAATATGTCAGTGTTTAACGTTGAAACATTAGCCCTATAGGTTTTAATCAAATTAACACAATATAAGTATTATAATAATACTATTAATTTCTACTAGTGCATCTATGTGATTTGAGTTTATTGCAGATCTATACAATACAAGGACATTTGTAGCTTGTAATACATTAATGTAAATATTTTTTTACTTTGTATGCTGCAGTTTTACAGTGTTTTAAAGTAAATATTTCAGTTCAATTCCTAACTCTAACTCTGAATATAAATGGCAGGACATATTAGCCTGTCAGCTGTTTGCTGAGTTGATCAGCCTGTTTCTAGTTGTTAAGAAAATAAGTAAACAATCCCTGTTTCTTACATAGGGCCTGTTATGTACCATTCCAGGCCATTTATTTCATGTATGAAGGACTGAGTTTATATTTTGTATCTTTAGTATTAGATATGTTGGCTTTACATGTTAAGTAATTAACAAGGCTAGTGACCTTTTTTTGTTAATTCTATTCGTTACTTCTTTTACTGAGTGCCTTGCTATCCCTTTGCTGCTGTAGCACTGTGAATTTCCCCATTGTGGGACTAATAAAGGATTATCTTATCTTACATGCATGCTGATGCCTGGTCCACATATATATATATATTTTTTTATTTTTTATATACGTTTTATAAATCTGAATCTCTGGGTGTTCTTTCAGCCAACAAAGCATGGGATTTGCATCTCTGACCATAAATTCATGCATATTCAACAAATTTATCTGGTCAAATCCAAGCACTGGTTAAGCGGCTTTTACCACATTTTAAATTGCACCAAAAGCCAGAAATATTTAGAAATTCACATAATCCTTCCAGTGGAGGGACTGAAATGCAGTGTGCCTGGTGCTGGAGGAGCTTAGAGAATTTCCAAAGCATTGTGTGGGATGGCATTGTGGGGAAAAAAACACAAGCAGTAGGCCCTGAACGCCAGAGCTTAACTGTTGACTAATTAATCACTCAGCTTTGTTAGGGTTTGCCAGAAGCCTCCAGCACCATATTTGTGTGAGTGTGTGTGTGTGTGTGCGTAGTGTGAGTCATGACCCATAAACAGCAGTGGCCAGTACAGCGGGATAAGGCAATACCATGGCACAGTGTCTTTGCGTAGCATCTCTGGAATGGTAATCCTTGTATTCTAACCTTTACTACGGTTTTCGTCAAACATTTGGAAAGGGTTTGGATCTGACGTCTTTTTCCGCAGGCTTTGGACTAAGTAAGCATGCTATAAATGTACATGTACTCACGGAACAGAAAAGGTGGGGAGCTCTAGTGCAGAGTAGTACAGTCGTTCATAGTAGTCTTAACTGTTCATCATGCAAGGATAAAGGTGGAATTTTGCTAAGATGCTGCTGATTCTAAAAACGAAATATTTTTCTACACAAGCGTTTGGTTCATTGTTTCAATGCAGCTGAGGTTTTCGTAACAACACAGACACAAATCTACACTGCCTGTGAAAAGTTTGGGGATGCCTAGCTTAATAAAATGTTTTTACTGAATCAGCATATTTGCTTTGTCGGTTGGTAATAACTTGCTGATGAAGGAAGGAAAACAATATCACACGTCTAAATAATTGTGAGAGTATTTGTGACAGTGCGACCTTGTGAATAATGCCAAAGGTCAGATATTTTATCCCCTTTTGATGTCAAGGCAAGTTGTCCATCACATCTTTTGACAGGCAGGGTGAATAAATTTAAACCAAAACATCAAATATGATGTCCTTTTCATATGTTGTGTGTGTGTTACCTGGTACATGTCCCCTGCAGGTGTAGTAGAACTCCCGGCAGTACTCAGGGCAGAGGCGGGGCAGGTCAGGCTCGCGGTACCGTGAGGACTCTTCCTCAGGCGAGTGGAATAGCATCTGGGCATGAGGAGAGCAGCGGGCACACTTTATCTCCTGCAGCAGTCTGGAACATTCCGTATTATTGGTGGAATAGATCTGAGAAGAACAGGCAAGGAAAGGTTAAAATTATCACAATGATGCTGCCATAGAAATGTTACAGTTTATTTAAGTCTGAGTTTAACTGTTCAGTCTTCATGCCTTGGTTTGGCTATGTGGGAATAGTATTCCTCCACACGTGATCAAAACAGTGCAAAGGTTTAATCTGTATAGCCACTTCAGTCTTAATTCCAGCCCATTAATTCTATGATTCACTGTAAAACTGAATGGAGGAAGGCGTTTGAGTGGTCATAAAAGTGTCAAAAAATTGAACATTAAATATAAATTTATGAGCAAAGTAGCTTCTCTCTAACGTTATACGTTCTCATGTTTAACAGCCATGAGATGTCTGATCTCTTTATTCCACCAGAGGGCACTGAAGAGCCTCCATCTTATGCATCAGTCAAAGAAGGAAGCATAGAAAGACTACTGCAGTCGCCTAAAGGCTAGCGTACAGTGAACGATCGCTTGACGCGACCAGCACATGGTAGCGAGTAGCCTTAAGACCCCTGGGTGTAACTTCACTTACTTACTTACTTATTTATTCATTTGTTTGTGATGGTGGTGGTGGGTGGGGTTATTTCGAATATTTGAATATTTTTCATATAATGTCTTACAAATTCCAATATCAATAATATTTGACTGAAATACCCACCCCTAGTGAATTCATCCTCATCATTTTGGGCTAAAATATGGTAGATATTTGATCTGCTCAAATATAATGACTTACACTGGTTGCAATTTGGGAGCGCTAATGTGACAAACTGCATGACGTATTTTTCATGCTTTAATTAACTCAGGGGCTGTAGAGCATTTTAACGTGTCTTGCACCAATTAAGCTGAGTTTTAGATCAAGATTAGTTAGTACAGGCTTACAAACTGTTAATCTGCTGTTACATCTCACATGCTGACATCGTTCTGTGCCAAAAAATTAACGAAGCAGAGTGAAATGGAGCACAGCGAGCGTAATCGAAACGTTACCAAACAAATGTAAGCAAATAGATCTGGGTTGAGAAAATTAGCAGGCTTATTTACGTAACAAATTAGCTGTAATAAAACAACGGTGTAATGGGCCTCCCCTCGGCAGGCGTGCGCCTGTGCCCCAGCAGCAGCCGCCTGGTACACACTCGCGAGCTCTGTGTGAGGTCCGTGTGTAAACACCAATTTAGAGATAGACAGGCACATCATTCCACCGCTGGTATCAACAAATTAGCGGTCTGTCCAAGTCAATTAGAGCTGCAGAGTCTACATACACTGTGGACTACCTCAATAGGAACCTATATCCTAAAGAATGTTCAGGTTTTTCCTTAATAAAAATAGACACTGGATGTAAAAACAGTAGCAGCAGCCTTGAAGCCTTAATTTTCTGAGTACTTTTGTCCATTTTTACAAATAGCAGTATCTCGTATAGCATCAGAAACCACATAAACAAGTCTGTTTGAGATTACTTACATTGATTTGGCTTGAGGCAAGTGTGTGATAATTCAGAAATGCCCAGTGCTAACTGGTGGAGTATGAGCTTCCATTACTTGTTAGCTATGTTAGCTTTAGCTCCAGTCCAAAACTAAATAAGCAAACTTCAGACACCAAACATGCCTTGGCTGATTAACATTTAAGGGTAAAACTGCAAATACGGACATTGATGCCAACCTATCACTTTAACCCATTAAACGGCCAACGTTTATCATACACTTCTATAACTTAAAAATAACTCCAGTTTGCATTGTAGTCTATGTATTTACTGAATAATAAGCCATGTCATGTAACCAGCCTGGGTTTTAAGGGGTTAAGTTACTACTGCCATTTAGAATAGACAGGTAAGAAAGGAGGGATGGGCTAAAGAACTGCTCCCATGACCACACACATGATAAGAAAGATAAAACTATTATAATTCTTCAGGACATACTGCATGTGACAAGCCTTTGCAGAACCAGGCTGTTACAGAGAAGCATCTCAAGCTCTCTTCCCTTCTTGGTCTAGTGCTCTTGGTTGGTTCCCCAGCTCCAAATCGCCCATTGATTTAGTGAGCCATGGACTGGCACATGGTCCATGGAGAGGAGCATTTGTGTGCTCTCAACCATGCCCTGTGCCCATATGCTGCTGGGATGGGCTCCAGTGATGCCATCACCCACATCACAAACAAGAGGACTTTTGTTTGTTGTGTTAGGGGAAAAAAACACTCAGAAATATATATGTGCTTTACAAATTTCTGTGGTTCCTAGAAAAAGTGGTGAAAATCATCAGTGCACGTAACGCAGAGCATTTTGAAGTCATATGTAACTCTTGAAAAATTGCTCCAAAAGTAGGCGTATGTTGCATGTACGTACTAACTCCATTACTCAACAGAGAGCGATTAAGGCCAGTTCATACACCTAGGTCTACATTAATGTCAGTGCTGTAAATGGTTGATGCATTAAAGGTTGAGAATAATCCATTCTAGTTCTTTTATTAAGCCGACTTTATTTTTCAATGACATAAAAGTCTACATTTTAAGTCATTTTCAACACATGGTGCACATTCTATGGCCTGATTACAAAGACAGCAAATGCTGCATGCCTGTTTATTATTGCTGTCCTTGAGTTAATCAAGAATCACCCTGACCGATCAGTGGGATATGTGTTAGCAGCTGGTATGGTTACTTATTAAGACTTGCACAATTCCTTTTGTCAGTGAAATTGCCAGAACAAACATATAAACGCACAAAGACACACTTGAAAACAATTGCTTGTCATTCACCCTCAGACAATGGAGACCGCCGAAGCCTCACAAGGTCACGCCATAAGAGGCAACCAGGAGGGTGGGAGTCACATTGCGTCATGCCATGCATGGATAAGCAGGAGTGTGTGTATATGTGTGTGCAACTGGAGATTCATGTCAACAGCATTAATAAGATATGCAGTCACAGATCACTTTTGAGACTTTTGGTGGAATCCCAAATTAACCTGGAACCTACTTTTTTTTTGCCTGCCCCCCCCCCAAAAGAAGCCAACACAACTCGGGCGAGTGTTTAACAGCTTAAGCAAAACACTCTTGGCCCTCTGGGAATAGGTGTAAGTTTTGCGAGGGGGTGGGGGAGCAGGACAAACACTCTCTCCACGGCATTAACACTTGGACAGAGCCGAGGACTTGGGAGAGTGATGTTCTCCAGCTTCACCCATTAGTGAAACTAACAAACACAATGGTGTTGTTGTTATTCTTTTGCCATAAGCTAAAAAGACTCCGTGTGTGGGCAGTGTAGCAGGGAGGAGGAGATGTCGACTCCTTTTTGTTCCATTCAGCCTCATTCCCATTTGCATGACTTGAGCAAATTAAATGATGCAATATGGCTTTTTGTCACAAACCAAAGTGCAATGCCACCCAGCCACATATGTTGATTTGCTGAGGCAGTTTACATGAGAAAAGAGGCACCTCTGCATTCACTATAGAAGCTGTTTTTATTTGCTGGATGGTTGAATTTTCACTTGCAGAAGCCCACGAAACCAAAGTCACATAGAATACACCTCAATCACACCTAAATCTGCATGCGCATAAAAAAACAGCATGCTTTAGATGTTTTCTGCATGATTTGTTCAGATAATAACACATGAACACAGTGACAGCTTTTCTACTAACTTATTCATTAAGTTACATCACTTCTACACATTTTAATGGCCATATGTGAGCTTGCTCGAATGCTTGACCGCCCAGACAGCCTGTATCACATGTGATAAACACCTCACAACCTGCGGAAATATTTCATTCACAGGAGCTGTGCACTTTAAAGAGGAACTCCACCGATTTTTCAGAATTCAGAGTGGTATGGTGTGAAATGCTTCGTATTAGGGAAACCTTCCAAGTCAGAACTGTTCACAGCAGTGATGATAGGAACCAAACATACACCTCTAAAAGCTCCTTCAGAGAAGGTTATTACATGAGATGGTTATGAATATGCTGATGTCTAGTAAAACGGCTATATTTGCACTGTAATCATTGGGACCTTTGGTTCCTATCACCACCACTGTAAAGAAAATCTGTGTTGGTAAGTTTCTCTACAAATTAAATCACATCAGATCAATCTGACTGACTTTGAGTATATTTTAGCCACTGAATTATGGAGAAATTTTGAAAAATCGACGGAATTCCCCTTCCAATGAGACGCGTGCGTGCATTTTAGCCCCATCTAACAGTTAACTCACTTCGTCTTATGCAATGCTGCCCATGTGCTGTTTCTGATTGAAGCGTTTCATCGCCGTGCACGAGCACGTTGCTATGAGAGCTCAACGAGCAGCAGCAGTAGTACAACAGAAGGTAAACACATCAAAACATAGCCCATGCATGTGAGCAGACTTCGGTACAGGCCGTGAAAGTGAGACGAGGCTGAAGTTAGCTTCTTACCAGCTTCTTAGTCGAATTTTCCGTTCCACCTTAAATTGTGCGGCAGTTACATTCTGGCGCATGCACGCCGAAACGCCACTGCTGCGCCATTTACGGTGGAACGTACATTTCGAATATAAAGCTGGCGAATAAGAAATCAACTTAAGTCTGGTGAACGTGAACACCGAGCACTCCAGGGACAGTCTTGGCCACCATGCACACTTGTTTACCTCCATGCATGTGAGCAAACTTCAGTGTAGCCCATCCATCTCACCAGGAGGGCTGCCCACCACGCTGATACGTTTACTTACATGCATTTGAACCTTGCGTTCTACTAACGTACACTTCTGTGCATGCGAACAAACTACAGTATAGCACAGTCACCATGCATGTGGACAAACTTCGGGATAGCCCATGCAACTCAGTCAAACTACACGAGCTCTAACTGGAAGCTTGGCCACCACGCAGATCTGTTTACATCCATGCACACGAGCAAACTCAGTACAGTCCAAAACTACAGTATATCAAACTAACGCTGCCTACAGTACGGGCTACTCTTACGTTCATCTACGCGGAGCCCTGGCTGTTTCCCCTCAGCCTCGTCCCTTTCCACAACCTGCTGACCTACCGTGGTGTCTCTCCGGTGGAGGCTCTGGTAGGGCGCTCTGCGGACGGGGCAGCAGGACACTCGCGGGTAAAGCCTGGAGCACACGGCCCCGTCCTCCACGGCCACTTTGCGCTCCTTCTTCTTCAGGCGCCTGGGCAGACTGCCGTCGTAGCATCTCCTCCTCCTCGGGCTGAGCTCGCCCTTCTCTCCCAGCCTGGCCTCGCCGCACTCCCACAGGTTGGCGGCCACGGCCAGCACCAGGACGAACTTCAGATGCCTCATGGTGGAAAAGACCCTTCACTTAAAAAGGAACTGCCGCTGCTGCTGAGCAGTCTTTGCGAGAACAAAAATGCAGTTAATAAAGTTTATTTGAATACTTTTTTTATTCCAGTTCAGCCAAACATAAAAAAATACGTGAAAGTAAAATATGTGGGCTTAAATATTGGTCACGTGAAAGGGCACAAGTGCTGGTTAGGATGGCACGACACAGGCAAAAACGTGTTCTTGCATAATGATATGCAAAACCCAAGAAAAGAAAGACAGAAAGAAAGAAAGAAAGAAAGAAAAAGTCGATCAAAAAGGAGTCTGTGCAGGTTTCCTCGCGCACACAAAATAAATCCCCCGTTTAGTGCTCTCAGTGGTGGGTGCAGAAGCAGCAGCAGCACCGTGTTGCCTCCTGCAGCGCCTTCAGTGCGCTCACATGGTGCTCGGACTTTTCCACCTTCTTTTTAACCAGCGCGCGAGAAGCGAGAGGGATGACGTGCGCAGGCGTGAGAGCGCGCGCGAAGGAGAGAGAGCGAGAGAGAGAGACGTGGAGAGAGAGAGAGAGAGAGAGGCTACCTGTTGGGGCAGGACGATGAGCCGGGGTAGCCTAGGGCTTCCCAATCCTGATCCCGGAGTAGCCCTGCCCCGTGCAGTGTGCGGTTTTCCCTGCGCTAACACACCCAGTTTAAGCTCGGGAATGAGCTGATGAGTTGAGTCAGGTGTGATTGGAGCAATGTGCAGTGGTGGAGAAGCACTGGGAAGCCCATTCTCCCTAACTGGGCATGGTCATGGCTGGATCTATATGGGTGACCTAGGTGTACCAATAGATTACTCCAAAAACCTGCACAAGTTTAAACCTACTGTTATCTTCAGATTTACTCAAATATCTAATCCTTCGGGTCAGCAATTTCAACCTCAGTTCTTGTGGGAATTATGTTTTCCCTCCCCCGAGTGGTGTGATCTATCAGTGTTTCTCACACTTGTACTGGTATGGTTATGTTAGATTAAGGCCTAAAGCAGAGGGAAGTTTTTATGAAGATCATAAAATTACATGTTATAGTGACCTCAATATCATCTAAAACAACCAAAACACGTGTGTAGAATATTGATATTTCTTATGTTATACAGAGCTAAAACAGTGTGGGGTCAAACTGACCCCAAAGAACACTGAAGCGTAAAAAATATATACATATAGTACACTGAAAATATATCATCATGTTAATGTTTTGTTTACCCAGTTGCACCCGTTGAAATGAGAAAAAGTCATTGAATATGAAGCAAAAAATCATGTCAGTCATTTATTTGGAGATGTTGAGCACTGACCGGGGTCAAATTGTCCCCAAATATAATAGGAGGGTTAAATGGTTTTGATTATGTGATAACACATTTTTTAATTTTTTAATTTACCTAAAATCTGTTCACAGACCCCACTAGTCTACATATAATAATACAGTTGTAAATAAAAAAAATATCAACATTATTATTTGGCAGATGACTGCATCTGTGGTGTTGGCATCTTATTCCATGTGCATTGTGGCATTAAGGATCACTGTCAAATGAACTGATGGCCTCTCATTTAAATGCCCAGCTGATTTTGATGAGGTGTTTGCTGAGAAGCTAATGTTAGTTCAGTTGAGATATTTTGCGAAGAATGAATGGTACAAGTCAGCTAAATGGTGGCAAGGTGAATCAGTGAATAAGTGGTATGTATGATTGAGAGACTGTAATGTTTGCAGAGTGCACTGGGACAGGGCACCATTACTCTAATGTCCAGGAGCTCTAAAGGGTCTTAATCTGGCCCTGGGCATGGTGAGATAGGGTATGTGGTTGCTCCCTTTCCCCATAACCGTGAACAGCTGATTGGACATGCAGTCAGAGCCATTTCACCTTACTTGCCGTGGTGTGATGGGGCATGTACACTCTTAATAAAGATGGTTCTTTACGGGGTGTTTAGTAAAAGAAATAGTTCTATATAAAAACCATGAGTTCTATATAGAACCACTTTATGCTTAAATGGTTCTTCAGATTGATGGAGAAGGTGTTGTATACGGTTCTATATGGAACCTTTTTGAAAAGAGTTCTATATAGCACCAAAAGGGTTCTTCTGTTGTTACAAGCTTGACATTGTAACAATAGCAGAACCCTTTTTGCTGCTATATAGAACCATTTGAATAGGAGCAATCCCTTTTTTAAAATACCCTTGAAGAACCATTTTTTTTAAGAGTGTAGATATAGCTGTTTCTCCTAACAGGCCATTGTGTGATGGGGTACATGATGGGACCTGTTTCCCCTAACTGGGTGAGGTTGATGGGACATGAAGTCCGCTGATCAAGGTGAGATGGCGTATGTTCTTTGGAACCATTTCCCCCTTACTGGACATATGCTGTACAAAGACCTCTGTTATGAAAAAATTAGTTTTAGTCACGATACAGGTTAAGGGTGGAAGATTTGGAGAAAATATCTAATTGCAAATGTTCTGACCAATATTGTGATTGCAATGAAAAGTGTGATTATTTTTTATAGATTAAGATCCAGGCCTGTTTTGGCCAAGAACACCAGAAAATCCAGTTTTTCTGGCTTGAGATCTGAACGCTGCCATTTACAGCCATTTAGTTGTAGTTTTGTTGTCATGAACACAGCACTTAGGTGTTTGGTCACTTTTGATTGGTCTAACATATCTCTAGGCAAAGCACAAGCTTTGTGTTACTAAAAATGAAGACAATATTCTTAATGATATAGGCTGTAATTAAAGTGGCAATTTGAGAGTGCAGTCAATTGCACTCTCAAAATTTTGACATCAAAACGAATCGTTTAGCCCTAAATACTGTCTGTTTCTTCAGTGTATAGCTAGTCACTTTTCATTTCACTCTAGCCGAACCACTACAATTATAAAATAGCTTTGCTCCTTTTAATTAAGAGTAACGTTCACATGGAAATGCGTAAAAAAATCAGAACTGACATTTGGCCACAGTTTCCTTTTCTGTGAAAAGCTTACGGTGTCATGAACGGTTTTGCTTATTGCAAACTCATTGAAACATTTTTTGCTGATTTAGATGTTGGAACAAGGCCTGTGTCTAGCATACCCAAGGGAATGAGATAATGGAATTCTTTATCTGCCCTTTAACGTTTTTGGTCATTAAGTGCAAACAAACTCTTCCAGGGCTAATCAGGCGGCCACAGCAGGACAGTCTCAGTTGATTAAAACATGCTATGCTATTACGCTAGTGGGGATGTTAGAATGCCTGGTATTTCTGTTCTTCAGAAGGCTCCTGATAAGACAGAGCCAAACGCGGGACAAGTCCTCTTTTCTTCTCGTCTTCAGAGAGATCTCCAGATTGTCGGTCCATAGGGGAATGTCCTCGGCAATAAAAAGAGAGAGAGAGAGAGAGAGAGAGAGAGAGAGAAAGAGAGAGAGAGAGCAGTCCTCAGATCAGCTCCATTACCACACCTGCTCTTCCTTGGGGGGTCTAACCCTGACCAGAAGTCTCACTGCTTATCTCCAGAGATCAGGAGCTGCAGGAATCCACACTGATTGGCCTGCTGGGCAGTGATGGAAACAGCTCAGACCTCATAGCACTTCCATGATGAAAAGGACGCTGAGAAACTATACTCAAAGTAAATGTGCTGTTATTCAGAAATAATTTAATTTTATAAATTCCTGCAAGACACTACTACTACAGTAAAAGGGAGAAAAATGTGTTACACTAAAAAAAACAGAAATATATTAAATTTTCTTGAAACAAATTTGTTTTATTTTATTTTTCAGTTTACTTTGTTATAACAATGATGTTGAAGTAATATATTTTATTAATCAATGTATTGTTCATTTTTTCATTTCTGTCCAGCTCACGGTTATTTTCTTCAAAAAACTGACCAATTGTCAATTCATACATGCAACATGTATTTAGCTTTAGAAGACTCTACTGCCCAATCCCATTTTACCTCTTGCCCCTACCACTTAGCCCTTACCCCTCCATTTGGCGTGTTCACACCTAGGGGTAGGGTGTCCCGATTTTTGTTGAGATAGAGGGGTAGGGCGAAGTGTTAGGGCCACATGGCCCTCCAAACTGAGGTTTTTCAGATGCACACTCCAAACAAAGTGTTATTAGAAAAAAACAAAAACCCGCAAGATGGCTGCACAAGCAACCGAAGAAACCCACAAATGTGAGTATTTTCTCTGTTAAAAATGACCATAACCACTGTATTATCTTAGTTTATTGTTGTTTCAATGTATTATGGTCCTTTTCTTCATAACAATCATAAAAAATTGCTAGTAGTATGCTGATGTCTTGGTAGCTAGCTGGCTAAATTTCCCGATCCACCCTAAATGGTTACATTCTAGCACCTCAGGAAGAAGCGGGCGAATAGCTGACTTCAGCTTCATATCACTGAAAAATTAGAGGTGAGTAATAATAAATAATTGTTGTCCCCCCCATTTGAAGGCATATGATGCCCTAAATGTAACTAAAGCCCAGCAGCGAGGTTACTGAACTTTACCCTCCTCTGCTATCACTGTAGACTGGCAGGGTTGCCTACACAGAACCGCTAGCCTGTTAATGTTTTTTTATTTGAGGGTTGTCTAATTTCGTAGAGGACGATTTCAACCACTACCTCTTATAATTCAGTTCCAAGGGGCAATGTGACAAAAAAAAATTAATTAATATATATATATATATATATATATATATATATATATATATTCAGTATTTAATGTGTCCATCATTTGCCTTTCATTCTTTTCAGGAGACAAGTTTTCAAGGGAATCTGCTGGGATCATTTCTTGGAAGCATCTCCAAAGTTCAGTATTAGAAGTTGGTCGCATTTTCTGCTTCTCACCTTCCAAGTAATGCCAGACATGTTCAATGATGTTGAGGTCAGGGCTCTTGGGTGGTCAGACCACTGTTCTGAGAACACCAGCCGCTTCTTTGTTTGATAAATATGTCAGCAGTGTGTGTGGGGTCATTTTTGCTTTTCTTCCCTATCAAAATGAACTTCTTTCCAATCAAACATTTCCAGAGGGTCCTGAATGATGTATTAAACTTTCTTTGTACTGATCAGCATTTATGATGCTTTCAGTCAAAACAAATCACCAGCTCCTGATGTTTTTATACATCCTCAAACTTGCAATGATCCTCCATGCTTGACTGATGGTTGTAGACATGGTTTGAAGAGTCTTGCATTGCTTTGGCGGTGTACTTACTGCCTTCTGTTACTTACAAAGATCTCAAATCAGTCCGTAAAGCCTTACTCCACATCTTAGATGTCCACTTTTGTGTTGCAAATGCTTATTGTCCATTCCCATTTTCTCTGCATCCTTTAACACTTTTTGAACTTTCTGAATTGTTCACATATTTTCCTTAACTTTGCCCTTTTTATGTGGACTATCTTACATCTAATGTCTCCAGAAATATGTCTGTGAGACATTTTAGATCCATGTGAGAGAGAAATTTGCAAGGCAGCTAAGGTGTGTTTGGGGTATTACTTGAGTGAGTATTCACATCTCTGTGAAGGGGAGCATAATGTCAGTAACTGTTGTCAAAATTCCATGATAAACAGAC